ACTCTCAAGACGTCAGCCCAGTGAGGTGGTAGTCAACTTTGGCCATTAAGTAAATTCGAGAGTAGAATCTGCAATTTAATCCACGGACGAGTAAAGTCAATGGGGTTGTGGTTACGTATAATCGTGGAACCGAGACAGATATTCAAATATCCTCGGTGGGGTCTCACCGGGGGTTTCAATGGTGCTTCAGGGTTTGCCTACGTATTGGTACGTTACTCCAATGTGCCAACACACTTGTATTCTCACAGTGGGGATAGAAGTGTAGAGGTCCAATGAGACCAAGTCCCAGGCTTGCACTAATCGGTGGTAGTCACGTATTCGATGAGTTGGACTGCACTTTGAATTTGTACCGAAAACTTGAGGGCAACCACCTTGAAATTTAAGCAAGTTTCTATATGCTTAGTCGTACGCTGGGATAAGATTCCAACATTAATCGATTCACTTGATGTGGTTTCGCTTATGGAGTTGATGCATAATTTTGCGTTTCAATTTGTCGTTCTCTAGGAAAATAATTCATGAATAAAACTGAATGAATGATTGAATTTTAATCATTATCCTTATCACATTGGGCTTTCACAGAAAATTCAATTCGATTATTCCACGAAAACGAGTGGAATACAGAGAAATTTAGATATATATTTTTTAAAATTTTTAATTACTTGAAAAATCAAGTAAGTTCCTCCAAAAAATACATTACAAATAAATCAAAATGAATGATTAAATGGTAATTAATATTTTGGTATTAAATACAGTTTTGTTGTTCATCAATATCACCTCTCATTAATTCCCCCTAAAAAGTCACTCACCACGCTTCCCACACCGAATTAATCTCCACCTCAAACATAATTTTGCGTTTCAATTTGTCGTTCTCTAGAAAAATAATTCATGAATAAGACTGAATGAATGATTGAATTTTAATCATTATCCTTATCACATTGGGCTTTCACAGAAAATTCAATTCGATTATTCCACGAAAACGAGTGGAATACAGAGAAATTTAGATAAATATTTTTTAAAATTTTTAATTACTTGAAAAATCAAGTAAGTTCCTCCAAAAAATACATTACAAATAAATCAAAATGAATGATTAAATGGTAATTAATATTTTGGTATTAAATACAGTTTTGTTGTTCATCAATATCACCTCTCATTAATTCCCCCTAAAAAGTCACTCATCACGCTTCCCACACCGAATTAATCTCCACCTCAAACATAATTTTGCGTTTCAATTTGTCGTTCTCTCGGAAAATAATTCATGAATAAAACTGAATGAATGATTGAATTTTAATCATTATCCTTATCCCATTGGGCTTTCACTGAAAATTCAATTCAGTTATTCCACGGAAACGAGTGGAATACAGAGAAATTTAGATAAATATTTTTTGAAATTTTTAATTACTTGAAAAATCAAGTAAGTTCCTCCAAAAAATACATTACAAATAAATCAAAATGAATGATTAAATGGTAATTAATATTTTGGTATTAAATACAGTTTTGTTGTTTATCAATATCACCTCTCATTAATTCCCCCTAAAAAGTCACTCATCACGCTTCCCACACCGAATTAATCTCCACCTCAAACATAATTTTGCGTTTCAATTTGTCGTTCTCTCGGAAAATAATTCATGAATAAAACTGAATGAATGATTGAATTTTAATCATTATCCTTATCCCATTGGGCTTTCACTGAAATTTCAATTCAGTTATTCCACGGAAACGAGTGGAATACAGAAATTTAGATGACCATATTTTTAAATTTTCAATTACTTGAAAAATGAAGTAAGTTCCTCCAAAAAATACATTACAAATAAATAAAAACAAATGATCAAATGGTAATTAATATTTTAGTATTAAAAACAGTTTCGTTGTTCATCAATATCACCTCTCTCACATCGAATTAATCTCCATCTCAAACAATAAGACAACACGAATTTAATATAATTCACCCCCAGATGCATGTTATAAGGAAGAAAGTAGATCGATGTAAAAATCAGAAGAAAGGTATGAAGATCCACCCCCTGGCGTTGTTTTCTCAGCGCCAAGGGTCACATCTGCGGGTTTTCTCAGGTTCTCCGGCAAAACTCGTTCCCCATGACAAATCAACTCCACTCCTCCCAGCACGAAAAACCCCACCGCCCGCGCCAACTCAATCCTCATGATTCCCGAACACCCATTCACCAGAAATAACGTTCCAATAATCATCTCATCTGCGCCTCCCTCTCCCCGAAAAAAAGATTAATGCGCCAGAACGAATGACACCGAATTCTCCCTGGATATCCAACTGTCGTTAGCACTCCGACAATTGAAACAGTAACACGTGCCCGAATCATTATCTATCACGCTCGACAAACCAGTGATTTTCGCCACTTCCTCGTTGCCAACGCTAACCACGTGGTAGACTGGCGATCAAAAGCCCTGGGCCAAGTGAGGCACATCGAATCGCCTGGAGCTCAAACAATACCCAAAGTTTCAGTTCTCTGGAAACAATCGACACAGCCCCGGCCGTGACCCACTCTGAATCTGCCTTCCTGACATCCGTATGACACTCGATGCCGATTTTCCGGTATAACGTTTCCTCCGATGTACAGGGGCACAACGAAACGGTCACGTGTCGGCCGTACGTCACGAGTGGCGCGTGTCCCGAATGCACGATGTTTACTAGGATAGAACGTGGCGGTGGCTCGTATTTGCGGCGTGACTTATATACATCGCGAATCTACAGAGTAATTTATCGTGCGTCTGTTTGTTCGGGGCTTTCTGGCCGGGGACATGCAGAAACACTAAAACTGTGACAATACGAATTATCGCGGTTGCATTGCACTTTATTTGAGTCATTAACGAGTAATTAAGTGGATTAAAAACACTACGATTTTTTAAATTCATTGTGCTATCAATTTTTTTATTCTCTTCCGCTTTACATGTGTTTTCTTAAAGTTGTGTCTATACTGCATTCGTATGAAATTATTTTTTAATGATGGACTTTATGAAAGTCGCAATTGATATGAAAAAAATGTTAATTCCCTCATCGGTTCACAAAATTGCAAATGTTTCGAATCTTTCTTGTTTTTAGTTTACTTTGTCTACTGTACAACTAAATCCATCTCGTGAAAATGGTATCACGTATCAAAAGGCAGTTAATAAACCGTAATAATAGCGCAAGTTCCATAAAAAAATCAGGAATTGAATTTTCAAAATTATCAATAAACACAACAAAAATATTCATTCAAAAAATTATTTGTTATTTATTTATTATTTATTTTGATTTGTTTACAATGTATTTTTTGGAGCGACTCACTTGATTTTTCAACTAATTAAAAAATAAATTCATCTAAATTTCTCTGTATTCCATTCATTTTCCCGGAATAATTGAATTGAAATATTCATCATCTCTTCATTCATCAATTTTCCAAGTCTCATTATCCTCGGCATTTTTATTATTCCCTCAAAGTCTCCGTTCTCCGCATTGTCGCAGACCTCCCAGCGATGCAATTGAATTGAAGAAAGCGAACAACAAACGGAATAACAAGTATTGACAGCAAGTGAGAATTGTTTTTGGTTCTGTCGACGTGTGCCATATCTAATTCGCAAGAATAAAGCCCGGGAAATGCGCCATAGGGAATGAAAAGATGAAGGGGACATTGTGTGAATTGAATTCTCATACGTTCCATACAATTCTCTGTGTTAACAATCCCCCGGGAGCATCTGACGTTAATTAAAACCGGACAATACCTCCAATCAAGCATTTCGGGGTCAAATAAATATAGTTGCCTTAACGAGTCTACACTTGTACCTGGAACAATTGTTTTTCCATTCATAAAAGTCGATAAAGTAAATGAGAAAGTGAATGGAGGCGCGGATTTTCCAAGGGGCGAGGGAAATTTATGGGAAGAAAGTAATGGGCAAATATTCGATTAGGCGGAATATATGGGGAAGCATTGAGGAAAGGAGGAAAAGGGATCTTGCCGTGAAATTCTGCAATTCTTAAGAGACGGCCCGTTCAGGCCCTCCGCGGCAACGCGTGTTTCGTAAATGGTCCGAGAGTCGCATTCGTGATAAATGGTAATGGTATACGTCAGGACGCTGAGAATAGCGATAAACACGAACCCCAGAGAAGTCGAACGGAGCCAAAGGCGAATTCAAGTTGAAATACCCGGATGGCTGAGAGTGTTGTACCTGTGTGGAAGGGAAGAATATATAGGTACATAGACACGCTCGGCGGAGTCCGTTAGGGTGAGGAATAGGCTACATGCGGATGAAAAGGAAAAGCAATACAACTCGCTCAGATGACATGAGAGATTGAGCTTTTCGGGCAAGACGTCTCCAGGAATTGTGTCATTCATTCGTGCCTATTTTGATTTGTATTAATTGGGAATGGAAAGTAATGGGACATGTAGACTATCTTATTCTCCAAGAATTAATTTCAATTTATTCACACGGAGGGAAATCAGTAACTTCAGCGAAGCGGTAACCCGGGTCAACGCGATTTTGACTATTGGCCAGTTTTTGACGCATACCTCGGAATCTAAGAGAGATAGCAAAATTTTTGTTATGACCTTTTTTGTAGAGCCTATTCAGGGTTATAAAAAAGGTCATGAGAAGAATTTTAGTATCTCTCTTAGATTCCGAGATATTCATCAACAACTGACCGAAAGTCACAATCGACTTGACGGGGTTTACCGCTTCGCTTCTGAAATGTTCAGTAAAAATTACGGAACTCGCAGTTCGCTCACCGATTACGGAATCGACTCAGAAAATTTGAGTGACGGTATCGAAATTTTTCACAGAATATTCAGGTAAAAATTACGAAACGCTCTGGAAAAATTGCGCGATTTTAGGTAAAAATTACGTGAAACTTCCGTAAAATTTCCTACAACCACATTGCACTTCATAATTACGGAGAAGATACGTAATTGTTATTGAATATTTCTCTCCGTGCAATTGAATTTTCATGTATTGCCACATTAACCGAAAACATCAAAAATTTAATTTTAATTTTAATTTTAATTTTGCCAGTTCTGCGAGATGAATTCCGCGCCCAGCCTCAGAATACAAGAGTTGCTGCCGGTGAGACAGCCTTACTCGAGTGTGGCCCACCAAGGGGTCACCCAGAGCCGACTCTCCAGTGGAAGAGGAATGGCCACGTCATAGACTTTGAATCCACCAAGAGGTAAGCAACAAAAATCCCAACATTCATCGACAAATTAACGTTAAAAATCGCGATGATGCACTAGGCAATACATCCCCCCCTCCCCCACACACAGACTCCAAAAAAAAAAACCCAACAAAGTACTTATAAAGAGAGTAAGAATGGATGTAAGAGCGTTGAATAATTTCCAGCTATTAATTCCCATGTCTTCTTTACACCGCGATGGAATTCTACGGGACCCGCTTCCCCCGTATATATCCCGCGAACGTTAGCCGGAGGCCAATAAGAGGGTACAGTAGAAGTACCGTGTGCACGACGGACCAATGGTAATAATCCGAAGACACAAGGACCCATAATCTACCGCGCATTTGCATGAGAATGGCGCTAAAGGATGTCCTCCATAATTCTTACCGCGTTATCTGCAGTCCAAGCCCATGGATGAGACGAACTCGTTATTTCGATTCCTCTCCCCCGCGACTGCACGTACGAAATTTTCGAGCAATTCCATTCCCTCATTTTTTTTTCTATCTCATTAATCGCCATCTTCATCTCCTCACTTTTGCTCAGCTACTCCAGATTCGGCGGGCCCAACAGTCCTCATACCCACATTATTGAGGACAAATTACCGAACTACAATCTTGATCTTAGTTAATTCACCGAATTATTTATATTCATGGCCGCCATTTATTATCTTGTCCCGAAGAGAAGATTGAGGAAGTCATGATGTTGACTTTAATTTAACGAGCTTATTTTTCCTCCACTCGGCCCCATCGTGAAATACCACGTCTATTTAATTTCCTCGTAGGCTGTACCTTGGACATGAAGCGTACCTGTCCGCTAGCCGTCTTGTTTACTTGACATACATGTGGCCTTTCCCTCCGTGCTTTTTCCCTCGGTTTAGTTTCAACAAACCCATTTTTATCTTCAACGTAATACTGTATAAACGTAATTAAAAATTTCTTGCTCCGGGGTGTTATCTAGGTCTCGTTTCTTTTGAGGAAATCAATTTAGTTGAAGTAGAATTCAGAGTGTTCTTGGAAGAGCAATCCTTTTCGAATGGTTGTAAAATTATTGTCTGTTGATTTTTTTTATTTATGAGAAATAACTCATGAAAATGTTGGGATTTATGCAAATAAATCTCTCGTTTATTAAATGTTTTAACGGAATCATTGTGGTGGAAATTTAATGCCTGATAAAGAGAATAACTTCATTCCTGATTTATAGAAATTCATGTCATCGTGTTGTTTTGATGTAAATAAAAAAATACAGCTCTTGCAAATTAACTCAAATGAACTTCACTCATTCATCCATACAAAATTACAATTACAAAATTTGTGCCCAATAATTCTAATAGAAAAAATCTAAGAGAAAAATTCAAACAGAAATTTGAAATCTATTGACTTTTTCTTATTGAATATGCAATCGAATCAGCGCAAGAAACAAATAGAAATCCCATAGAATTCCTGTAGAATTCCAATAGAATTTTCTAGCGAATTCGCTCGATTTTCTATTGAATATTTTCATTCGTGTTACTCCAGCGGATTTGTTGTATATTTTCGAAAATTATCGATGCCACAAAGGTCTAAACGGTGGTATCATTACCCGTTTTCCTTTTTGAAAAATGTCCAACTCCTAATAACTGGGCTTTTGCTAATGAATTTTCGAGGCTCTCCGCCCGAAATTCCCCAACCACTTACAGACTTCAAGAAAAGTGCACGTCAGATCCCGCGAATGACCGATTAATTAAACATCCAAGCCACAATGATTAAAGACGAATTACCTCGGCCACTAGAAATTGATTAAGTCTGACAGGATCGGTGGCACCATTGGCCCCCCGTCGAGTACACAGTCGGGATTTTCAGGTCTGTCAGTATCGAATTAATTGATACTATAAATTAAAGGACACAATCGAGAAGCCATCGATTTTCACGGTGTTGTTGAGGCCCGTGTCAGGGATACTATTCCACATGCACAACGTGCAGTGTGGCATTCCATTGAATTTGAACGGAGCCGCTTAATTGCGATTTGGTACTGTATACCAGTACCATTGTATCAGTGAGATAGAGTAGACAGTCGATGCAGTGGTATCCTCAAACACACGTCCATAAATTCCATCTGACCAATAATTTGATTAATGATTTTATCTCGTATTTTCCAGAATAACCCTGGTGGACGGTGGTAACCTGATGATATCTGACGTCAGGCAGACGGATCAGGGAAAATATCAGTGTGTTGCCCACAATATGGTGGGCGACAAGGAGTCGGCAGTGGCGACATTGACAGTTCACGTCAAACCCTCATTCCTGTCAACCCCAGAGAATCAGACGGTGTTGGTGGACACAACTGCCCAATTCGCGTGTCGCGTGAGTGGTGATCCACCGCCGGAAATTCTCTGGCGCAGACACGACGGAAAAATGCCAATCGGACGTGCCCACATTCTTGATGACAAGAGCCTCAAGATTGAGCGTGTTACACCCCAGGACGCTGGAACGTACATTTGCGACGCTGAAAATGGGGTCGGGGCCATTTCTGCCAGTGCAACCCTCACCGTACACTGTAAGTAAACAATCAATCACCTAAATTAACTGGTGATCGATAGAGAACAATGGGTTTGAGAACGTTGACCTGCTCCGAGGTGGACAGGGAAGAGGGCTAATCAAGTGAGATTGCCAGAGACGAGATTGTAGAGTACTCAGGCTCATTTATTCCCCTGAATTTATTAATTATTATTCATCTGGCCTGGTGTATCTTAATCTGCAGAGTCCCCTTCACCTGTCGAGTGATACCCAACTTTGCTTAATTAAACTCAACCGGGAAGCCATTGAGTGGAGTCTAATTTCCCATTGTTTTCCTTTACCAGCGCGTCCAGTCTTCACGGATTTCCCAAAGGACGAGATTGTCAGTACGGGCTCAGACGTAGCATTCGCTTGTTCGGCTCGGGGGGCTCCGAAGCCCTCGATATTCTGGTCCCGAGAAGGATCACAAGAGCTGATGTTCCCCGGCAATGTTTATCAGGGTCGATACACTATTAATGAGGATGGCTCGATGCACATAAAACAAGTCAATAAAAAGGACGAGGGACACTACGTGTGCAGCGCTATAAGCTTGGCCGGTGCCAGCACGGCAACGATATTTCTTCAAGTAAGTAATCCAAGATTAGGGAAAATGAGGGGAAGTTTGTGGGCGTAAGCGGCCAGAATGCACACTCAAGGCTGATGATTCGGTACAAATTGATCGAGTTTTACGAAACATTATTCGTTATCATGTAATTTTTAATTTCTAAAATCATCGCAGTAAATATGGCCACAATTATCGTACACTGTTAGAAAATTACCCTTGAAATGTCAGCACTACAATTTTTTTTTTCACCGAGGGCCAAAGTGTCAGATCTTGGATTTTTACAGGGGGAAAGTTGACATTCGCCAAAATCGAATTTTTTAGCCGGGTGAACGGTGATTCCAACTATTTAAACGACGAGCTATTCAGAACTCTCAAAAGTATGTGGAAAAAGTGAAAACGGAAAAAGTTTTTTTTTCCGATTTTCAAAGGGTCAGATTTTCCGTTTTTCCAGGGGAAAAGTCGACTTTCGCCAAAATCGAATTTTTTAGCCGGACAACCGTTGATTCCAACTATTTAAACGACGAGCTATTCAGAACTCTCAAAAGTATGTGGAAAAAGTGAAAACGGAAAAAGTTTTTTTTTCCGATTTTCAAAGGGTCAGATTTTCCGTTTTTCCAGGGGAAAAGTCGACTTTCGCCAAAATCGAATTTTTTAGCCGGACAACCGTTGATTCCAACTATTTAAACGACGAGCTATTCAGAACTCTCAAAAGTATGTGGAAAAAGTGAAAACGGAAAAAGTTTTTTTTTCCGATTTTCAAAGGGTCAGATTTTCCGTTTTTCCAGGGGAAAAGTCGACTTTCGCCAAAATCGAATTTTTTAGCCGGACAACCGTTGATTCCAACTATTTAAACGACGAGCTATTCAGAACTCTCAAAAGTATGTGGAAAAAGTGAAAACGGAAAAAGTTTTTTTTTCCGATTTTCAAAGGGTCAGATTTTCCGTTTTTCCAGGGGAAAAGTCGACTTTCGCCAAAATCGAATTTTTTAGCCGGACAACCGTTGATTCCAACTATTTAAACGACGAGCTATTCAGAACTCTCAAAAGTATGTGGAAAAAGTGAAAACGGAAAAAGTTTTTTTTTCCGATTTTCAAAGGGTCAGATTTTCCGTTTTTCCAGGGGAAAAGTCGACTTTCGCCAAAATCGAATTTTTTAGCCGGACAACCGTTGATTCCAACTATTTAAACGACGAGCTATTCAGAACTCTCAAAAGTATGTGGAAAAAGTGAAAACGGAAAAAGTTTTTTTTTCCGATTTTCAAAGGGTCAGATTTTCCGTTTTTCCAGGGGAAAAGTCGACTTTCGCCAAAATCGAATTTTTTAGCCGGACAACCGTTGATTCCAACTATTTAAACGACGAGCTATTCAGAACTCTCAAAAGTATGTGGAAAAAGTGAAAACGGAAAAAGTTTTTTTTTCCGATTTTCAAAGGGTCAGATTTTCCGTTTTTCCAGGGGAAAAGTCGACTTTCGCCAAAATCGAATTTTTTAGCCGGACAACCGTTGATTCCAACTATTTAAACGACGAGCTATTCAGAACTCTCAAAAGTATGTGGAAAAAGTGAAAACGGAAAAAGTTTTTTTTTCCGATTTTCAAAGGGTCAGATTTTCCGTTTTTCCAGGGGAAAAGTCGACTTTCGCCAAAATCGAATTTTTTAGCCGGACAACCGTTGATTCCAACTATTTAAACGACGAGCTATTCAGAACTCTCAAAAGTATGTGGAAAAAGTGAAAACGGAAAAAGTTTTTTTTTCCGATTTTCAAAGGGTCAGATTTTCCGTTTTTCCAGGGGAAAAGTCGACTTTCGCCAAAATCGAATTTTTTAGCCGGGCGACCGTTGATTCCAACTATTTAAACGACGAGCTATTCAGAACTCTCAAAAGTATCCACTTCTAAAAAGAACATACGCCGAAAGCTGTAGCGTAACGCTCATTCCTCGAATGTCATCGGTCGAACATTCGGATCCGCCCGCACGTGTTCGACTTCGGTCGGCCTTCGGTTTTCGTCTCACGATTTGTCTTTAACACGCGCGCTCAAGCGCGCGATCGTTCCCGTCTGAGAAATAGGACGCCTATGAGTCACACATTTTTCCCGTGTGCTAAAAACACCAATCCCCCCTCCCCTCGCCTGCTAATTGAAAATTACCATAACATGAGCCTCAACCCTCATTACTTCCAGGTAACTCCAATCGAGGAGGTCCCCCCGCCAATAATAGAGCTCGGCCCAGCCAATCAGACATTACCAGTGAAGAGCACAGCGTATTTACCCTGCCGTGCGGTTGGTACGCCCACCCCCCGAGTCCAGTGGCACAAGGACGGTGTTCTCATTTCACTGGGTAATCGAATCACCATGTCGAGCAATGGTACCCTCATCATTGACGAACTGCAGTCAGCAGACTCGGGTCTGTACACATGCATCGCCTCGTCGGAATCCGGAAATACATCTTGGTCAGCAACACTGGCCGTGAGTGCCTCAACTACTCTGCACAAAACCCCCGACATGTCAGCACTCCCCCAAAATCCGAGTAAACCAAGAATCGTCAACATAACGAGTACATCCGTAACATTAACGTGGAGTCCAGGCCACGAGGGCAAGAGCAAGATAATCGGCTACAACATCGAGTACTTCAGCAGCAATCTCAACACCGGTTGGGTGATAGCCGCTACGGGAGTAACAGACGACACTTACACCGTGACGGACTTAAAGCCGGACACCAAGTACGTGTTCCTCGTACGTGCGGAAAATGGCCACGGGCTTTCCCTGCCGGGTCCCCTCTCCGACGTCGCCCACACGACGAGTCAAAATCAGTACTCAGTCCCCCAGATCGAGCTGATCCGCGCGCGAGACAGACTCAACAGTGAGATCCTGCACCTGAAGGAGGTGCAGCCCCTGACCAGCACGAGTGTCAAGATAATCTGGGACATCCTGGGAGCTGCTGACCTCGTCGAGGGGCTGTACATAAGATACCGCGAGATTTCGGACAAGCCCGAGTACCAGATGGTGACGGTGATGAACGCCGGGGCGACGAGCTACGTTCTCACGAACCTCAAGAAGTACACGATGTACGAGTTCTTCCTCGTCCCCTTCTACAAGACCATAGAAGGCCGACCGAGTAACGTCAAACTGTCAACGACCCTGGAGGACGTGCCCTCGGGGGCACCCGAGAACGTCCACGTCGGCATGATAAACATGACGTCTGCCTTCGTCAGGTGGGAGGCCCCACCGAAGACCGAGCAAAACGGCGAACTCATTGGCTACAGAATACAGATAAAGAGCAACAGCAGCAACAAAATCCTCGGGCAGATGTCCCTGAACGCGTCGACAACATCGGTTATCATCAATAGTTTAACAACCGGTGGTCTGTACACCGCGCGAGTTGCGGCCTCGACTCGAGCGGGACTGGGTCCATTCTCGAGTCCTACAATACTGAACATGGACCCCGGGCAGTTGATAGTATTGCCACCGAAGACCGACCCGAGTCACGGGGGAATATCGATTGTCTCCGAGACGTGGTTTCTCATTCTGATGATAACAATGGTGTTCACTATCGTAGCAGGACTGGTGGGCGTTCTTTACGTCCGCAGACGACAGGCTATGAGCAAACAACTGGGGCACCTCAACGTGCCCGTTGGAACAGCCAGTGATATTTGCCAATTGAACAAGGACACCCTGTGGCTGGAGAGAGGGTGGAGACCGACGAATACACTTCAGGGATCGACTGACAAAGACTGCGAGACGAAATTGCTTAACAACCAGCAGATGCTGGCACCGGGGATTGTGAGTATGGCGGGCTCAGAGTACGCCGAGGTCAACTTGACGACCTTCTACAACGCGAGGAAACCGCTGCAAGCACCGCCTGAGCCGTACGCAACGACAACGCTCTGCGTGGGGAACAGAAGCCCCGACTCGATGGATGGCAGTGGGCAAAAATCAAACTCGAGTGATTCCTGCGTTAAGCCGGATTACTCGAACCTCGACTCAAACCAAGATCACAACCAGTCGACGTTATCGCCGAGCAGCGATAACGCCAGCAGTGTGTACACAGACGAAAATGCCGATATCCAGCGACGACCGCAGTACAGAATACCAACGAATGAGAATCAAGGGAATCAGGGGGGTATGCCGAATTGGTGCGATATGCTTCCACCACCCCCTGAGCACCCACCACCCACGGGTACGTCATTATCCAGTAGAATGCAGCAACAAATAGCTGCATTCAGCCCTCATCTTGGCAAGAGGAATGTGCAAAATGACCTCGATGGCACTAATTCGGGGAATTCGCAGAGTCCACCGACCCCACCTGTCAGAGTTGGGAATAATTTTTCTTCGTCACCGACACCCTGGAATGGCCTGCAGCATGAGAATCATGGGAATCATCAGCAGGGGAGGTACACGACACTGCCACCGCAGACCAATCCACCACCGGTTCCGTCATTTCCGCAGGGTTTTAATCATTATGACTACAAGAATCAGGAGAATGAGTATGAGAGTGGGTCGGTCATCTACGGTCATCAGAACGGGATCAAGGAGGAGTACAGGTCGCACGACGGGGGATACAGCCATCCCAACCTCCCCAATCATGGCCCCCATGGGGAGGATCACTACCGACACAACGACGAAATCTTTAGGAATGACAATCTCTATCAGCCGGACAATGAAGAGTGGGACAGAAAGTCCTGCGACTCGAACACTCACTCCGAGCTCTGCTGCTCCTGCTCCGAGTCGAGTTGTCTTTATGCTGATACAATGGACTACAACAATCAATTTGGGACTGGGTGTGGGCACAGGAACGGCTCCAGGAGCAGGAGCAACAGGAGCCCGCGGAGGAGGGGGAACCGAACGGCGTCGCCGACCTACAGCAGCGACAGCAATTACTCGTGTATTCCGAAGAGACAGTGCGGACCGGCGAATTCGCAGGAGAGGCTCAGGCATAATCGCAGTAAAGGTGAGCATCGAAGGGCCGGATTTTTCCGTCTCTTCGCTTAATTCAGACTGTAGTTATTACAAATTAATTACTGGGCAAATCGGTAGACATCGACGCAATCGTGAATTTTAATTAAAGTTCTATTTTGAATAAGTCAATTGTTAATACTAATCACCAATTTTTTTATTTTTAATCAAAATTTTTGAATTTTCAATTAATATAACAATTATGAAATTAAAAATTAGTTTTTCAATTGTTAAATTCATCATCGATTAAATATTCAAATTCCGAATTATTTTATTAATCAACAAGTGAGTTCAAGTGATTGACGATTATTTTGCTAATCGAGAATACTTCTATGACATTTAGAAATATTTACTTAATAGTCAACTGACAATTCCGTATTGTCAGTTATTTAGTTCATAGAGAATTGAAAATTTAAATTACTAATTATTACATTATTTTTCAAATTTCATAAAGATAAGGAAATTTTAATTTTTGTGTGATTGAGGCCGATCCATGCAATTCATTACAATTGTTCCTTCACTCACGTGAAAATTACTAGTCAAATGTCGATGAAATTTCAAATTTTTTTTAACCGTGTATTCATTCCTAAAAAGTCCAAAATGCAAAAATTCTAATGACGAAAATAATGTGATTTATCAATCGTCCGTCATCATTCCAGACAAAGTACCTAGTTTCCCCAGAACTGGCTACAACCAGCACAACTCGTCAGCCTCGAACACAATGAGTAGCTCAGGCAGCCAGAGGTACAACAAGCTCAACAGTCTTTTCAACCCAAACGGTCCAACCGAGACAACTCGACTGAGTGATCATCGGGATAGCTAAGCAATATGGAGTATTCGACTTAACGAGCACTATCCTATTTTCAAAAAACACAAATGACATTTTTACCAACACAACTAGAAGCCATACTGAGCCAATAATGAGAATTGGAATTGCCATTGATTCCTTCATAAATGCCATTAATACCTGCTAATCCGCGTTATGTATGAAAAATGATAAAGAAAAATATGGACGTGGCATTTATTTTTCATTAGCCTGTAAATTTCTCCCTCGTCACGACAAATAACTGACATTATTTTCGATATAACGTTCCTAACTCCTAAGAGGACAAGAAAAAAATCCAAGTTATTCGGTATGAAATAATCGTACAGTGTCTCTTCCAGAATAAATAAAGCAAATAACTTACTGATAGTATGTTTACGAGTGAAGAGAGCCGAAGCGAGGTGCATAATCATATCAAGTGTTTTTTTTTGTAAAGATTGTACAAAGTTAATTATGGGGATTAGTCACTAGATATTAATTAACAGTACTGTTAAGCCTAACCAGTAAGTAGTGGGGGATATAAATAATAGGATAAACCTTGGGGAACGTTTCTATAAGCCACACTGCGTTTAATACCCTGACAAATAAGTGAGAATGTGATTTAAAGCGTTTGATCATTCACTCGCTGCTTATTAATGTTTCGAAGGTGCATTCATAAACTTCTGATGCTTCCAGAGGGCCTCCGAGAGGTCCACGAAGTAGGGCAACTCTTCATTAATTGTAAAGTATCCATAATCTCATGGAATATCGTGAATTAATCTGTTGAATTTTCCTTGTGAGAAGTGTTGTTCATCGATTGAGATGACTTGCCCCGTTAAAATACCTTCTGAACTGTAGATAAATCCTTGTGAATACAGATGCGTAAGACGTATTAATCCTAATGTAGATTAAGTAATTCAATCTAGTGTGGTTCAATATCCAAAACCCTGTACATTGTTTTCTCATTCTTTATTTTTTGGTGAAAGTTAAATGACATTTTACGTAAGTAGATAACCCCGATGCCATGTAATCGCTCAAATTAAATGTAATTAGTCGATATATCATTAGGTAAAATTTAAAATGCCCGGTAGAAGTTGAATAATGAAAAAAATCTGTACAATCGAGTCGAGTATTCATTGGCAATAATTCTTAATCACTGCCACACTTCCGAGACTTGCACACTGAATCCGGCAATAGAAAACGAAATCATGACTGTTTCATTAGTTTGCCAAATACTCGACAATTGTATTCAACAGAATCACCAACTGTGCGAAATCCATCCACGATGAACAAACAAATCACGGACTCGTAATCGAGGAAAAATGTACTAGTTAGAGATCTGTACTTTAGGATATTACTGAGAGTGAATAAATTGCTGGAGAACATCGAACCATTCTGCCAATTGGCAATTCGAGAGAAGAATAATGTATTATTTTTATAATTGAGATGAATTTCACTGGAGTTGACAGAATGGCTCGTATTATTTTGTAAAATAAACGTTGTAATAAGCCAGTTGATTTAATAATTATTGTTCGAGGGAAAAGCCTTTGTCTAGGTGCACAGTGGGAATAAACGTACTATATAATATTTACTGGGCATGAAGAAGAGAGCGAGCGTGGAACATAAATCTAGTAATCGAAATTGGATTAATTGTACGCGTAGACGAACGCCATCGAGATAAATTATTTTCAATACGTATGAAAACATTTAATAGAAAAAAAATTATTGAAACTTCAGAATAACAATTCCATCGAAACGTTCCATGTTTTTAAATAGATATCTTTTTTTACCAAAAATGTCTGTAGACGTTAATGTTTTTATAACTCTTGGGCATGAATTTTCCAAGTGGTTTTTTCCTCGATTTTATTACGAGAAAAAAATTGAAAAATTTATGCCCAAAAATTTTATTTCAATTTCAGAGGAAAATAAAAATCTTTCGAGTTTTTTAAATAGAATTTCTTGAGGAACAAGCAAGGTTTTTCTTTTAAATTTTTTTCATACGTATTAATGAAAAAGTAGACTTGGCAGCTAGGTAGCTACAGCCTCGTTATTCATATCACTATAACGTAACGAAGAACGTTTTAGAATTGGTATAATCATGAAGACGCATCAAACAAACATGAAGACTGGGTTGTATTTAATTACGTTGCCGGATAAGCTCGGAAGTGTACACTAAAGGCTGAGACGAGTGTTATCATATAATTATATTATTTAACGACGAAATGAAAACTGAATTTTCCTCCTATCCCTTGACACTGTGTAAATATCGTGGAGTAATGGCGAAAGGTAAATGTTTTATATAGGATTATAATTTATTTATTATAAAAGAAGAAATATAGTGCGATTGAGATTGAATAATGGGAAATACTGTGAATTATATTGATGAAATGAAATTGCATAATACGAGATGAGCAGCCACAGACACCCAAAACACACATGACTGTAGATAATTTATAACAATCGCTATTGTCAAGTACTACGTGTATATATTTATATGTGTATGTATGCATCATGCGGATACATATACGTATATCTATCATTGCATATTACACTAATAAACGATAAATAAAACGTAATGTTAAAAATTTAACTGCTGGTTCAACCATTTGTTTATATTCCTTTATTTTCACTTCCAGGTTCAATAATTATATCCACTACTGAGTCGTTTTTACACTAAACTTTAATAAAGAAAGTTTGAATTACTCCTTTAACAATATTTTAGTGAATTTGTTTTATATCAAAATTTATTTTGCATTAGGAGTTTTTACAACGTACAAAGGATGGAGAATATCTTTAACTTCTTATCTTAGGTAATATCATGAGCCTTTAATTGAAGAAAACATTGCAGAATGGGATGTATTTACTTCCTCTTACCCTAAGAGTTGATCATCTCCTGTTGAGAGCCATTTTCGTCAAGAACTTTAGCGCTGTTTTCTTCTGATGCATTTTCAATCTCATTTAGAACTTGGCTATTCTCACCTCTTGATGCATTTTCGTTTCCCTCAGGAACTTGAGTGTTGTCATCTTTTAATGCCTCTTCATTCTCATCAACAATTTTATTGTTGTCTTCTTTCGATGCATTTTCATTTTCATCGGGAGCGTTAACGTTATCTTCTTGTGGAACATTCTCGTTCTCCCCAAGAGCTTCATTATTGTCTTCCTTCGATGCATTCTCATCCCCATTAAGGACTTGACTGTTGTCTTCTCTCAATGCATCTTCATTCTCATCGAGAACTTGACTATTTTCTCCTCGTGATGCATCTTCGTTCTCATCAGGAGCTTCGCCGTTGTCTTCCCTCATCGAGTCATCATTCTCATCAACACCCTCACCATTGCATTCCTTTGATGCATCCTCTTCAGTCGCATACAGCTCATTCTTATGTTTTTTGAATAGTTTAGCAGAGAGAGTGGGAATGTCCAATGAATCCAGGAATTGATTCAAGGATTTGCAGGAGATGTCAGCATTCACTGAACCTGTACAAGAGGCTCATCAGAAAGGGGAAGAATTATTCTTTCTATTGAAAAGAAAATTATTAAATTTCATCAACATTTCAACCGCTCATTAACATTTTAAAATAAGTCAGAAGTGTCCATTTTACCCCAATTTCCCCTAGATGAAAATGGAACGAAGAATGGCATGAATGGCATTGCAGTCAAACTAAAATTTCCTTTCCCTTTGAAAAATTGTACTTCAACTGAATAGCGAAGTGGTAAAACGGTTTAAATCGACTTATCTCTTAGTTGAGTTTTTGAAGAATATCTCCCAATCTAAAGGAGATAATGAAATTTTCGTAATAACCTTTTTTCTGGAGCAAATTGAGTGCTACAAGAAAGGTCCTAACAAAAATTTAGCTATCTCCCTTAGATTCCGAGATATTCACTAAAAACTGGCCCATTGTCAAAATCGACTTAAACCGCTTTACCACTTCACTACTGAATAGTTTTCATTGAAGAATCAACATTTCGACAATGGAAATAATCGAAACCTGTGGCCTGAAATTAGGTTTCTAAGGGAAAAGAAAATCTTGTTGGACTGTAGAAGAAAAAGAACGCAAAATGACAAATGAGAGATGCAAACTTCAGAAGAGAAGTGTGATAAACGAAGAAGAAGAGTGTTCATGCCCACAATGAAGTGTAACAGATCATGAATTAGCAACAATACCATGAACAATTTCCCTGTTGATATCAGGAACCTGCGTTCGACTCCCCTCGATCTGCACGGTGCCAGTGTGAACCTCACTGATAATCTTGCACCGAAGACACCAAACATTGAAGACAGAATAGAGTCCGATTCGTCTCTCGTGCACAAGATTTTGCAGTGAAAGAAATTGTTTGCACTTGCCGCACTTCAAGCTCTTCACGAGGACCTCCAAGTCGACAATGCGACTGCCAACGAAAGTGTTGAAATCCGGGCGTTTTGCAGTCTCCACTTGAGCCACAGGTTCTGCCATAACCCTCAAACTCTCGGCCTGAGCTCTCTCGTGTCTCTTCTTCCAGGCCTCAGCCACCGCCAATTTCATCCTCATTTTGTGATCGAAACTCTTCTGCGATATGAACTTCCCCTTGTACTTCAGTGGCATTCTCCGTTTTTTCTCCTCACCCTCTTCCATTCTCAGCGTTTTGAGATCCTCCGTGATCCTGTTTTGTTTACACCGGTTATCGTTCTTGTGTGGAGGTGCCTGTGGAATATTTAGTTCAGTAACTCTCCACCAATCAGCTGTGCACATCTGGCCTGACTGAACTGACAGCATTTGACGTTTTTAGAAACTTTAGTGAGAAAAACATTGAAATACGATGGACGAAGAGGATATTCTGCCTCCTAGAACTCCATATCTACCAATAAGTAAGGAAATTAAGTTTTAATTCATTTGTGAAAATCCATTTGATGTTTTTGAGTTCGTTTGGAAGTGTTTTGAGTCGTTTCGAAGGTTAGACTATCTTCGAATGCATAAATTCGCCTGTTGCTGTGTCATTTCCTTGATTGAATTAAAAACACTGGATTTAATGGATATCGGAATACGAATAGTGAAAATACCTAGGGGAGGGCGGGGTAAAACGGCCCCTTTTGATTTTTTCAAAAGTGTTAGCTCAATCAATTTTAAATAAAATGAAATAATTTTTTTCCATGGAAACTACACTTCTTCCCCTTTAGAATGAGCCTAGACTGATCTCAATTAATGGATTTGTTTCTGAGTTACGAGTATCACAAATAAAGTTAAAAGGCCGTTTTACCCCACTCTCCCTTAATTATTTTGATTAGAATTTTTTTTATTATAAGCTTCCGGACACTGTATGTAGTCCACTCAGCATAGAAGAAAGAGAAAGTAAAAAATTTACATAAAATAATATGCGTTCCCTCCTGAGTTTTGATTGGAATAAAAGTGAGAAATCTCTTTTAGTCTGGGCTGCAATAGCCTCAGTTGGATGGTACGTTCTGGGACTCCTAGTGGCTGGCTTCTTCGCCTCTCCGTACATAGCTGACAAATACAGAAGTTGGAAGAGCAGAAGGGATGAACAGGATTATGAGGAGAGGTACAAGAAAAGTGAGTATTGAATGTTTTCATTTTAGAGTAGAGAATTCTCCTCCTTTCTTATACTTTGACGAATGCCTTCCACAGATCCTGACCTACAAGAGGAGCGTTTGACGTCGATTGAAGCAGCGAGACAACGCATGCAGTCCAAATACAATGAAACCGTTGAGGAAGCAGAACGGAGGAAGGAAGCTGTGAGTAATTCGTCAATTAAATAGTGAATAATTGAAATCCTTCTCGTTTTTTTAATAATAATATGTCCTACGCCATGGGGCTTAATGTATGTCAATTGTAGTGAATAATCTTATATTAAATTTCTGAAGTTAATATCAAAGTTTCCGAAGGAAGTTTCAGGAATGTATTCTATTTTTTTTATATAGGGGAGGTTGGGGTAAAACGGACACTTTTGGCTTTTTTTAAATGTTAATGAGGGGTTGAAATGTCGATAAAATTTAATAATTTTTTTTTTCAATACAATTCTTTCTCTTTGTGATGAGCCTAAATTGAGCTCAATTGATCAATTTGTTTCTGAGTTATGAATAATTTAAAAAAAGTTTAGTGTCCGTTTTACCCCACCCTCCCCTATAATACATCCAGTGTGAGTTTTTTTGAAGCCAATCTATTCGGCGTATTGTGTCATTAGATTTTTTACAAATGATGATTGCATACATTAAAGAGATTACGATCATACTATACTATATTGTATATACTATGTATAATATACAATATATAATAGAATACTATATGTATTATAAAATATAATGTGCATAATAAAAAAATTAAATAAACTGATAATAATAATATGCATAATGTATTATAATATAGTATATTATGGAATATAATATAATAAAGTATCGTAATATCTTTAATGTAGTATATCATAATTTATGAAAAATCTAATGATACAATACGCCGAATAGATTGGCTTCAAAAAACGTTACACTGGATTTCTTATTAAAGAAAACAGCCTTCGTAATCTAATTATTTTTAGGAGAAAGAGGAAAAAATGAGGGAACTCCTTAAATACAGTGATGAGGCTGGTGGCCACAGGCTCGGTGGACCGTCGACTTCAAAGTCGAAATATAATGGTAAACCTTAATTCATTAATTCATTCTTTCCTGTTCTCATGACGTCCCTAATTATTTCAATAACTCCAGATTATAATCCACTGACGGGAGATACAACGCGAGGATACAAGCCCCCGAAACGCAGTGCCTGTCGTGGCGGAGGCTGTGGTGGCTCCTAAAATTCACTCATAGAAAACTAATTAAATAATTTAACTACAAAAAAATCATTGTCGCCCCTCCGGAGCTTTTTTCCCGGAAATGGGGCTCCTAAAGACCACCTAACAACCTACTTACTTCGACTTAATTCATGACATACGTATTATCCATAAGAAACGTGCAATGATCATTGTAATCTGTGCAATAAGAGTGAAAGATACAGATCTATTACTTTTAATTTACATCTCAATCAAATGTTCAATAAAAATGTTCTCACAAAAATATGTCGTTTAAATAAGCCATCAATGGGAAAATTAATGATAATCCCCGAAGGGAATCGAAAATATTTACAATTTTTCACACACTGTCAAGTCCTTGGCTCATCAATACCCGTATTTGTCGTTGAGGCTGGTTTTTCCATCTCCACTCTGGTCCACTGGAGGCACCCACATGGAATAATCCTCGCTGTTCAAGTCCTCAGGGTAATTCTTTCCTATTTCCTTAGGAAGTCTATCAGCTCTTCTCCTCTGATTCTTTTTCACCTTCTTCGGAGGGATTTCTGTCGAGTGACTGTTCCCTCCAATCTCTTCATTTTTATCCTCCTGGGTCACTTCCATGGGCTCTTTTTCCTCTGAATCATCATCTCCCTTCCTGCATTCCTCTTCACCAATGAACCGTTGCTCAACAGCTTGCAGATCAGGTCTCCTCAGTCCATAACGACTGCTGCTCTGAACACTCTTCTCTTCACACGCCTCTCCTGACCCCTCAAACTCGAGTTTCGGCATTCTCTCTAATTTCTCTTCCTTAGCATTCACGGACTCAACTTTTTGCTCTGAATAAACTGCCTTCAACGAAGGCATATTCGCAGGTTTGGCAATATCAATGAGTTTCCTCAGGCCCTCCTCTTCCCTCCTCAAATGCACAAGCTCTGATTTCATCTTGACAATGTCAGATTTGCTGAGCAATAAAGTGCTCAAATGTGACATGAATGCGTCCAAAGCGTCCTCACTGGAGTTATCATCCTGAGCACTCTTGGCCTTTCGATGATTCTCCAATGCACTTTCAATTTTATTAATTTTCCCCTGAACTTCTGAGTGTTTGTCCATCAACGACGAGTAAGTCTCGACTTTGGCCTCCAATTTTCCAGCATTTCTCATCCTCTGCTCGCGTTTTCTCTCGACTGTTCCAGTTCTGTCCAGGAAGTTGTCCTCGTCAGAGTCGTAGTAGTCCTCCTCTTCCCAATTACGAGACTTTCGTTTTCTCCCTTCGTGCGTGGCTTGTCGAAGTAAGCCATGCCTGTCCAGGATTCTGCAGGCCTCCAGAGCACACTGCACCACAGACTCCTTCTTCTTTCCCTTGACCAGGGCCTCTGCCCTGGCAGTTCGTCCACCGTCGATTGGCAGGTCCACCCAGCACAGGAATTGCCCCAGTCCCTTCTCCTCGGTCTGATACTGGAGATCGTGGCCCTCCCTCTCGAACCATCCCCTCAGGGTCTTCTTGGGGTCGTCCAGGAACAACTCCTCGTTGTTGGACTGGGCGTACGGGTTCTCTGTCAAGTCAGTCTCTTCGTCAGCATCTTCACCCATCCCCCAATCAACCCCTTCAGCTTCCTCTTTCTCTTTTCTCATTCTTTCGAGCTCTGCCTCCTCTTCCTGACACTCTTGCTCCAACTTCTCACGCTCTAATAGCTCCAGTCGCCGCATTTCCTGAACGGAAAAATCATTATTTCTAAGATTATGATTTTTTTTATTGAAGAAACCATTTATTTGAGAGTAATTCATCTTTAAGACATTTTTCGAGGCTTTGAAATGAGATTCAATTGATTGAGATTTAAATGAGATCTATCTAAAATTGAATCATTTGGTCAGGAATTATTGACGATTTAAGGTGCTTCATTTCAAACAACCTCTCCAACTTAATTATTTTCGTTATAGGAAATTTCTATTCCATTCTCTTTTGCCATGACTCAGTTGCATGGAGAATTCACACGAAAATACCGCAGACGACAGATCGAATTGTTTAAATTTAAAAGAACATTTTTAAAAAATCTTGTTCTTTTAAATAAATTACTATGTCATTCTCTTCCGAGAATTTTTATGATTATTCCATATTTTCTAGCTCGTATGAAGAGAAATTGAATAGAAATTAAGGAAAAAATGCAACAGAATAAATGGAATTGTAAAAAAACTCTCAATCAACAATGAAATTATTATCAAATTAAATTTGAATTCAAAAGAATATTTTTTTTAATTTTATGCTCCTCTAAATAAATTACTATTTCATGCCCTTCCAAGAATTTTCATGATTATTCCATATTTTCTGGCTCCTATCAAGAAAAATTGAATGGAAATTAAGAAAAAAACTGCAACCAAATAGATTGAATTGCAAAAAACTCTCAATCAACAATTAAATTAACATCTAGGTACCCCCCCCCCCCCGACTAAATCACTCAAGTATACCTTCAATTCCGTCACAGAATATTCAGACTCCTCCTCCTCATCCTCAGGTGGAGTGGAAATAATAAACTTCCTCTGACTGCACCCAAACTTGATCATATGCCCTCCCTTCAATTTCACATAAGTCTTCGGTCTGATTCTACAATTATTCCAAAAAGTTCCATGTGTGCTCTCCAAGTCGTACAGATAGTACCCACTGCCATTCCTCTCGTCCCCAGTCTCCCTGTACTGGAGAATAGCATGATACCTGGAGATGGTGGGATGCTGCAGGGGAATATCGCAGACTGGGAGCCTCCCAACGACGAAGAAACTCTGCTTCGACAGATCAACTACGCTCAGGATAACCCCAGACTTGAGAACCTCGATTTTGTAGCCTGGGGGAGGCGGACCAGCCCAGGAAGGCTCTCTGTAAGGGAGAGGAAGGGTCATCTTCTCTGGAGCTGGTGGAGGCTTCTCAGGCTCGATTTCATCAGGCGTTTCACTCTCCTCTCTCTCGTCGTCGCTCGCTGCTGAGGCCTCTGACAGTGAATCTGGTGTGACAGCAGGTGCAGCACGTATTCCTACGATTTTCCCTCGTCGAGGACCGATTATCAACTGTGGCTTCTTGAATGCCTCTGGGGGCGCCTCTTCAGGGGGAGACTCACCGACTTTTGATTCAGAATTTATCGAATCATCTTGAATTTTATTCTGAGCCTCTGATGATGGAGTCTCAGCTTTTTCCTCACTTTGCTCCATTTTTCACTGATTCACAAATTTTTAACAACTCGTTTGTGACAAGTAAATGACAAAAAGAGAGGTTATGACCGGTTTGTTGACAGTGCGAGCTGGTGCGAGCTACTGACGCTGTTTTCATGAAGCGAATGGCGAGGAACGTTGATAAATTATCGATGGAGTGACCAATAAAAAGTGAGAGGTGGACTTCAGGGTTCAGTGCATCGTGAGCATCGATGAGAGATTGTAGAGAGTGGGTTGTTATTTGGGATTGGGATTGAGTGAATAAAAATAGATAGGAATGGTGGACGCCTCGACGAAGAAGAGCCTGAGTGGGATTCCACTGCTGCAAACGAGAGCTGGCCCTCGGGACAAGGAGCTCTGGCCCAGGAGGCTCCAGGAGGAGCTGATATGTCTGATACAGGTGGATCAATGCTGCCATCAGTGTCTAGTGTTTATCCAGCCATATGGCACTGTGATTCTAACGTTTTGCGTCTTGCTTCCAGTACACGAAGAATAATAAGGCCTCTGACAGCCACTGGTTCCACTTGCAACCGAATGAGGGGGGAACCAAGTGGTTCGGAAAATGTTGGTATGTCCATAATTTGCTGAAGTACGAGTTCGATGTTGAGTTTGACGTGAGTAGCAAGATCTATTGTTTCTACGATATTCTTCTTAATTTAATTGAGTCTTGGGTTCGACTGAGGTCATGGGCATATTTATATTTAGCAAAATGAATGCTTCAGACATTTTTTTGAGTATTCATAACTCAGGGATGAAGTAGTCAATTGCAATCAGACTGGGCTCATTACAAACAGAAAGGAGATTATTCTTTAAGGAAAAAATATTCCATCAGCAATCGAATAAGACTCTCAACGGGTCGGGAGGACCCGTACATTTATCTGAGCACCTGTAATTATTAAATAAGCTGTCTCAAAGAAATTTAAATATTAGCTACCTAGGTCGCCCATTATTCACAAGTCACGAATTTTGGTTTGACCCTGTATACAGGGTCAAACTAAATCAATGTGACTAGTCAAAAAGAAATTAATTTTAATATTTTGGATTGTTATAAAAAATTGCCATACCATGTGTTCTTGAATTTAATAGAAATTTCGAATTTATAATTTTTTTTATTATTTTTAATTTTATTGTTTTATCATTTGAAAAAAATCTAGAGTCCATTTTGGCCCATTTGTCCCTAATAACATATGCATACATTGGATTAGGCTCTAGAAATTAGACTCTCGAGACTTTTCATGTTCTAAAATAAAATAAAATACAAATTTAATAAATATAATAAAATTCTTTAAAATTTGTATTCATTCATTTTTCTTCCTTCCCCATGATCACAATATTTTTATAATCATTAACAGATTCCGGTAACGTATCCCGTCACTGCTCCCGAGCTGGCATTACCAGAATTAGATGGGAAAACGGCTAAAATGTACAGAGGAGGAAAAATATGCCTGAGTGACCACTTCAAGCCATTGTGGGCTCGTAACGTTCCCAAATTCGGAATTGCTCATGCAATGGCCCTCGGGGTATGTCTTGAACGAGTCCTCCCATGCAATTATCCCTTGAAAATGTATAATATAAAATTTATGTGATTGCAGCTGGGCCCCTGGCTGGCAGTGGAGATCCCCGACCTCATCGAAAAGGGAGTCATCAAGCACAAGGAACAGTGTGACGCGAAATAACGATCAACTAATTCTAAAATAAATTCTACAATCTCCATTCCCATTTTTCTGTATTCAATAATGAAGTGTTAGCCCACAGATGTTTTATCATACAAAAGAGGACTTTATTGAGTTGAATAAATTATATTTTACATTTTACCTTCAACATTTTCAATATTTCCTTCTACTTCTCATCGTCTAATTTTATCTTTTTGGTGTCTTTGATGATCTCGTCTAGTTTGTACAAGTCTTTCAAGGAAACCTCTCCAGTCCCTCTGTCGAGGGGCTTTGGCTGTGAGGCATCTGGCTTCCAACCCAGCATGTAAATTATTTGAAACGTCGCAGGAACGTAAATACTACCATCCTCCTTCGTCTTCCCATAAAGCTCTTCGTAAATTGCTGCAGCTGCCAATGCAGTGTCTCGTTTCAGGTGTAATTTTCGATTTCTCGCTGCGTTGTTCTCCGCCATGCCTAACAGACGAGAGAAAATATTTTTAAGCATTAAATTTCTTAATTAAATTCACTGAGAAAAGTGAACAAAAAATTCTCTTTAAACATTTTTTGACTTTTATCAAATAAACAGTAAAAATTTTGAATAATGTCATAAACTTCATCTTTGCATAAAATAGTTTTCTAGAAACTGGGAAACATTGTGCATCGATAAAAACATGATTGAGCATAAATTACTTGGGGAAAGCTCGTAATCTTCGAAAATTAAAATTCTGAAAAATCTGGTGTCATTTATAGTTTGAAAAAATCGTTCAAATGACCAAATGTTACCTTTTAAATCCCACATGAGTTCGAACATGGAAGGATACCCAACGAGCATTTCATCGCAATCAATAGTGAGCATCGTGAAGCCAGCCCTCGTCATCAAGCTCCCAATGTCCCTGATCTGCGTGAAAGGTGAGACGTGAGGAGAGATCCCTCCATCCCTCTCCAACTCTGCGAGTTGTAAAGAACTTCTGAAGGAGATAATCACAGACAATTGTACACCTACTCCCAATCATGCCTATAAGAGGGTGGGGCAGAATGGATTCTTTCTATTTTTTTTCCCATTTTCATAAAAAATCAGGTACAAAAAAAAATACAGAAAAACTTTTGATAATCAGAAATTTTGATAATCCGAAATAATCTCCAATTGCCATTCAGTTTTGCATAGCCCTGGAGTCTCCGACAATTGTGATTGTACCATCAAAAAAACGTTGAAAAAAAGCTGAACATTTTCAAAGAGCGTTTTTGCATAATATTGGGAAATAAACTCAATAGGGAGGAAATTGCAAATTAACAATTTGATGTATCTAATGGCTGTTAGGTCGTTAGTTACCATGATAAATTATCCATTCACTATTTCCTCTCTATCGGACTTATTTCTCAATCTTTATTAAAAACGCTTTTTGAAAATGTTTTTTTTTCTACTTTTTCAAATTGTACAATCATAATTTTTGGGGACTCCTCCATGATGTAAAATCCAGTGGAAATTGTGATGTATTTTACATTATGAAGATGGAAAAACAATCGAGATAACCCGGGCCTTAATCAACAAGTCACTAGCGAAATGGTAAAGCGGTATAAGTCGATTTTGACTATTGGCCAGTTTTAAATAAATATCTCGGAATCTAAGGGAAATAGCGAAATTATTGTAATTTCCTTTTTTGTAGCTCTCAAGTAGCTCTACAAAAAAGGTCATGACAAAAATTTTGCTATTTCCCTTAAATTTTGAGATATTCATTGAAAACTGGGCAATAGTCAAAATCGACTTATACCGGTTTACCCCTTCACTACTGAATTCAATGAATCACTGAAAAAAAATTGAAAGTATTTGTTTTGCCCCACTTCTCCCCAATCATACCTGCTGATATTCTACCTCAGTTCAAAGAGAGAGTCGCCCCCGAAAATGGCAGCCATAAAGACCCCATCATTTCTGAGGCTCTGAATAATCCTGCTGAAGCACCCAGGGAGATCATTGACCCAGTGAAGACTCAAGCAACTGATGACCAGGTCAAGACTGTTGTCCCCCAGGGAGAAGCTCTCCTCATCCAGCACCTTCCTCTCCACCTCCACCCCCTCAGGGGCCACAGCTTGCTCAACAAAACTGGAGGACATGTCAGCTAAAATCAATTTCTTCACGCTGTCGGACTGGATATTCCTGGAGACGTGTCCACGACCGCAGCCCAGGTCCAAGGCGCACTGGAACTCCTTCTTGATATCGAAAACCCTGTCAGCAAGTCTATACCCCACTTCCTCCTTCAAATAGTCGTACAGTTTGACCTCTGGGTCCCTAGCTGCTCTCTCACGTTGCAAAAGCTTCGCATTCCTATCGAAAACATTCATTACACTATTGGGGGGTAAATTTCTGTAACATTGAGAGGTACTTATTCTTCGCATGTTTAGAAGTCGAGTTTTCGTGAGGTTAAGAGTCATTTTTGTCACTTTTCGCCTGTGACAGCGATAGTTCACAGTTTATTTCAATTTCCGGAGCAAAAAACGAGGACTACTGGCTGTTATTTCCCCTTCAATCATTGAAATTTAATTAAAAACAAATGGAATTCTTTTCGGAGCAACAAAACATTCGCTCCGAAACGAAACGTTGCGGGGCTTGAGGCCAACGCTAAAATATTATGAGTGTGAAACGTAAAAATAAAAAATTAGGAAAGGAGAAAATCTCTGCGCAACATGTCTGCGCACATCAACAATGGCCGACTGATCTCGCAGTGTTGGCGTTCGTCACCGGATTTATGCGAAAATCAAGGGTAAAGCCGTCAAAATAATTATTAAAAATGTAACTAATAGTTGACAACAAGGGACGACAATAGTTTCATCATAAAATCTACGATTATTCTGACGAATTAAAGTGTTCAAATGTAAAAATAAAACCTGTGCGCAACATCTCGGCGCACATCCAAAATGGCGGACTGATCTCGCGGCTTTGGCGTTCGTCACCGGATTTTAGGCGAAAATCAAGGGTAAATCATCAAAATAATTACTAAAAATGCAATTAATAGTTAATAACAAGGGACAACAATAAATTCATCATAAAATCTACAATTATTCTGATGAACTAAGTCTTGAAACATAAAAACAAAAATTACCATGAATGAATGGCGAAAACCTGTGCGCAACGTCTCGGCGCACATCAAAAATGGCCGACGAGTCCCGCGGTTTTGGCGTTCGTTACCGGATTTTAGGCGATATCAGGGGTAAAATCATCAAAATAATTCTTAAAAATGCTATAATTAGTTGTCAATAAGAGACAACAATAATTTGATCATGAAATCTACAATTATTCTGATGAATTACGCGTGTTAGAACGTAAAAACCAAAATGCACAAGAAAACAATGAAAACGTCTGCGCAACATCTCCGCCCTGATGGAGTCCCTGGCGATCATCTGAGTATTTTCGAAGAAATTACTGGTGAGATCAGCAAAATAATTAATAACAAAGCGATAATTAATTAATAATGATGGACAGCTACAATTGTACAAAGAAATGGTTGAATATTTCGATAAACTACGATTTTTAAAACGATGTTGAAGTTTTGAATAGTGGAATTTTAAAGTCTCCGTGTGACCGACGTATTTGTGACGCCACGAGATGACGCCTGGAGGCAATTCCGGACAATAAATCGAGGGTTTGTGCTGTTTTGATGAATTAAATGACTTTTTATTCAATTAAAAACATTATAACACTAGGTAATGAGTGAAAATAGTGGACACAGGATTTTACTAGAGTGTTAGTGTTGTGAATGTGATGAAGTTGTTTTTTATTAATCACTAGTGAATAAGTGTTCTCGGGAATTTCTTTGTCGACGTGTGTGTAAATACGTAAGGTGGCAGTTTCAGTCATGTTTGTGTGGTATTTAATTTCGAAAATGTTTAGTGCAAGTGATCGTGAAGACGAGCTTCCGGAGGGATTGGAGAGCATCTCGGCGTCAAGGTGAGGATTTCAACCTCTGGTGAGTCACTAAACTTTACAATTGAATTGAAAATTGACAGTTTTCAATCATCAATATCCCGAGATTGGCTGACACGATTTCAACAATTATCGTTTTATCTTGAAGATTTTTTTTCAGCCTGTGAAATGAATTTTCACTCGTCCCAATCGGATCATTAGATCTAGAGATATTGATAATTTAAGATCTGTTTTATTACACTTTTGATTTTTTTATTTATCATCGGCCCATTTTGACCTGAATATCTATTTGAGATCTCGACGACAATTTTTGGGTCTTAAGGCCCATGGACAATGCCAATAATCCGCCAAAATCAATCCCATCAATTTCTGCTTCCCAATGGAAGCATTAAAATGGTTCTATTTTTCGATTCTCAAATCTTAAAAAACATTTATGCATATGATTATTTGACTCCCCTACACTTAAATATCCCCTAAATTGAATTTTCCGCTGACGAATATTCTGTTATTTTGAGCTTCATACATTCAAGTATTGAACTCGCGGTAAATTATTATTAAATTATTATTAGTTATCGGGATCTTGATTCAATCAACCATTTGAACTCGGGGAGGGGAAATTGGCCTCAAGCCGTCTGAAGTTTAACGAACGTGACTGCATCATAACAACAAACTTAACCTCGAAAACGACTCGTGGAGATTTATACCGCTCGCTACGTGTTTTCCATCCGTCATTACTGACAATTAAATGTTTACAATTATTTAAATGATCAGTAAAGTTTGGAATTGATGTGAAAAAGACTGGAGAGTCACAAAAAACTGAAGAATCGCGAAAATCGTGGAGTGAGTGCGTGCAAGAGTGAATTTGATGAAAACATTCTTAACTGAGTTGAAGTATTTGAGTGAACAATGGATCATCAGCAGCTGCAGCATTTGAATAACGCTCTCACAGCTGTACGAGTCCTCAGATCTAGTGTCAGACAAGTGTTTGATTCTGTGGCGAATGGGCTCACATCGGATCATGGGGATGAGAACAAGGATTCCAAGTATTTGAGTGAACTGCAGGAGTTGTTGGTAGCAGCACATTCCAACTTGAGGTGAAACCACGGTTTTATCCACATGTCTACTAATATTCATATTAACATCATTTTTTTCATTTATTTTAATCAACTGTTGCTGCTTTTTTGGAGTTTCATTTTCATTTTTGTGAGGTATTTCTTCAGCAAAGGGGTTTTTTTCGTTTATAATTGTGTTTTTTACGGTTTAGAGACGTTGAGGCGGCTGTAGGCACCCTAAATCCACCCTCAGGTCCCTTCAGCCTCGGCAGCACGACGTACCTCAGTCAGGAAACCAGTCAGGAGAGACAGGCGTTGTACAGTACTCTCGTGAACAGTTACAAATGGTGTGACAAAGCCCATGAGTACAGCAACGTTGCACATGTCCTTCTCAGTCAAAATTCGTTGAAGAGGTCGTACATAAACACCAGCAGCAGGTCCAAACGGGGGAGAATACAGACTAGCACTCATAATGTTTCCCCTGCGTAAGGAAAAATCCCATTTACTTTCTCAAATTCAAGTGATTCAGAAGTCAATTTCCGGCAAAATATATATCCTGACATTTTAATTATCTTACTAACCCTGATTTTAGCATCAGAATCTTTGACATCAAAGGAAATATTTAAGAACAAGTAGAGATTTCTTTAACTGCAAGTAAAATCTGAAGTATTCTTCTTCATTTCTGTTGATTTAATTCCGCTCTCACTTGATGTCGAATAAAATGAGTAATTTATTCAATTGATTAGCCAAGTGGACGCCATGTTCAGCACCCTAGACCGCCTATCCCCGGATATGACGATCACAATAACTCGGCCCTTTGCCTCGAACGCCATCCTCAATGTGACCATGGGTCACATTCTGAAGGGAGCGATTGCCTTCAAGGGGCTCATGGTTGAATGGGTTATTGTGAAGGGCTATGGAGAGAAAATGGACCTCTGGACAGAGTCTCGGCACAAGGTCTTCAGGCAAATGACTGAGACTGCACAAGCTGGAATGCTACATTTCCACTCTCCAACGATGCCAGAATACGCTGTCAGATCTTTCATGGTAAATCATTATTTTTATTATACTTATAATTAAAAGTTGATTTCTCTAATTTTTTTTCTCTGGATTTCACCGTTTAGAAAAAAAAAAATCAGAAGAAAAAACTATTGATTTTTGTCCAATATTATGTTGGCATATGTTTTTGTATTTAATTTTTTCAGACAAGTCCATGAAACAACAGTGAGAAAACAAAATAAAATCAAAATAACTCGTCTTCTCACGACCCCAGCAAAAGAATTACATCTAAAATGTAAAATAATTATCACCCTCATTATCACCTTCATTAGCACTTGTCACGAATCCCCTAAATACAAAGATCCTCCACTCCATACCCCTAATGACTAATTAAATCTTGCAGACGTGGTTCGGAACTTTCGCTAATGTATTCAGCCAGCCCTGCAAACGATGTGGACTTCACCTCCACAACGCCATGCCCCCGACCTGGCGAGAATTCCGTTCGCTCGAGCCATTTCATCAGGAATGCAAGCCCTAAGTGCATCTCCAGCCCCACAATCTCTGTACATAAATCAACTCATTCGAAAAAAAAATTGCAAATAAAAATCAATTCGTCAATTAATCACTGTATAATTAATGAAATTCTCAACGACCACTCGATTACTGTTAGTCATCTTTATTCATTGAATAACAAAATTGACGATAGTATAAAGTTGAAGGATTGGGAATTTGTTTTTTTTTATCGTTTTAATAATTTTTTTTCTTTCTTAAGGAAAATTATTTGCATACTTGCGTTAACAGATTTTCTTCTACTTCGATTAGTACTTATAGAAAGTTATCTCGGTACAATGTTGGATTACTTTTTTTTCCCTTCTCTCACATCTGTTCTTTCAATACGGCTTACGGAAGTTGGTCCACACAGAGCTTCCTGCGAATGAAATAAAGTAAAATAATTTGTGAATCTCGTGTGTCACTCCTCCCTCGCTTTTATCACTGACTTACTACAAACTGATTCTCAGAGAAAAATTATTCCTCGTTAACACAGTTTTCTATCGCATTTGCACTGTACACAATTCGATTTTTTTGTTTCTAAAAATTAGCGATTTCTATTTAGCGTGTATTGTTTATCTCCCTTTGGTTTATTTAATCACAGAGCTTTATATGGATTGAAAATGTGTGAAATATAGTTCAGAGATATTCCCTCAACTTCATATTTATTTATATATTTTTTATCTAAAACATCCATTCGTTTATGCTAGATCCTCTTGGAAATCATAATTCAAGGTATTAACGATTATTTACATTTATTCCATGGGTATAGGAGTATTATGAAGTGGACAGTAACTAGGCGTTTCTTGAGAAATAGAGGGAAATCGTAATCACTGATTTTTTTATATTTTTCGTGAGCTAAACTCAATTGCTGAAATTAAATAATTCAAAAGGTCTTTTCATTATTTCAAAAATATTTTGGAAACTGCTGTCTTTCGACATTCGTCGCTAAACCCAATGGTATATTGAGAAAATTAATATGTAATCCTTGAAATTCAGCAGTATCAACTCAAAGCGTGCACGAACATTTTCATTCATTATATAATAGCTCTGTAATCGATTAATTTTTCGTTAATCCTACCATATTTCCATCATGAGTATCATTGGTTTATTTATTTTCCTTCAATGCTCTAAGTGAGTTTTACATAGTACTCGTTATTTTAATATCATTCATGTAAATATAACTAGGTAATTATATTTAATGTAACTGTACACATTCACATTTGGAATATCTTTGGCGCTTGTTAAGTATTTTTTTCCTCCTTCGTATTATTATTTTTTTATTCAGCGCAAGTCATTTGAATGGCAGTGAACTTATATTTTACATTTTCCTCGCGTTCATGCACTTGTTCTCGTGAGTTATCAATTTCTGAATTTTTTTTTATTGTGATCACTTGCATCTTTTGGATCCAGATTTCAGTGTTTTGAAGTTCTTTTAAGGCTCTATCTATCTGCATCAATGATTTTTTCATATAGGAATCATTGAGTTGAAACTATTACGGGATTATTCAATTGAGAAAAAAAATAATCAGTAGATTCAGTTTTATTCGTCTTCTACTTCCGTTGAAATGAAAAATTCATTGTTGTAATTAACTGAAGAGATTGAGGATTTAATTGCCATTTTGTGATTGTTTTTCTCAGTTATTTAATTTTTCTCGCTTTTCTTTACTCTTATAAATTTCATCTGTCTATGAAAATCTGCGCCTAATAAAATTGTGTGACATTTCCCCAGTGAATTACAGTTATTATAACCATGAGAAAATTTTTAAAAATTTGTTTCGTCGCTTTTTCGGTGAATATTTTGGTTTTTACATTCCGTTACAGGCCCCGATGTCACAATGATGTTATCGAAGATTTTCTAGTTGGAAAATAGGATGCTTGTCTCTTGGTCGACTCCTCATGTTTAAAAATGGGTTTTATTGATGAATAAATTTACATTTTTGTCTTTTTTCATTAGAATTTAGCCATTCGATTAAATATCCGCTTGAAATGCATGAAAAAATACAAAAGTAATGATGAAAAATCAATTACAAACGATAACAAAATGAAGTGATCAATTTTAAGCGGATATTTGATGGAGCGGTTCACGAAGTTGACGAAAAAATGAATAATTACCCTCCATTTTTATTAATTCAATATTTATTCATTTGAATTCTATTTCACTGTATCACTCATTGTAAATTCTCGAATCAGGACGAATCATCCATCAATTTCACGCAGATAATGATGAAAATTCACATCGTTGATTATAAAAACCGAGATTTTTATAAAATCACATATTGATCAACTTCATTAATCCTCATTAGAATGTCAATAGTCCAATTGTTCTTTGAGTCGAAAAGTAACAGCAACTTTCCACACACACGCATCGATTTTAAGCCTATTAATAATTACTCTTCATTGTTTTGTTTAAACGGATATGCTATCATTACTTGATTCATTTTTCAATTTATTGTACCGCCATATTTGTCGTAAAAATCCAATCGCACTTGGTTTTTTTTTATAATTAAATTAATCATCTCCATCGAGTGACAAAGTTGAAATTTATTTTTGCAGCGAAAAGGCAAAATGTAAAATCCAATTTCCATTTTTTTAGTGTGAAATTCTTCCAAAAACAAATTATTTCAGGGGAAAACATCAAAACAAATTTTTTGCAAATATATTTTTTCAGTGTTTTCTTCTGAATGCATTTAGTATCGAGATAAAGTCACAGTTAACGAAATAGAATGGACTTTTCACATAATTTTTACCCATTCGCTACAGTTTTTAATACTTTTCCCTCCATTTCTTACGATTGAACGAGCTTGTACGTTATACTTTCTTTCTACCCCTAAATGCCTATCCTAGATCGTTAATAATAAATTTCTTCACCTCTCGGAGACAACTGGGATACACCAGAAATGCAGAAGAAAACCTTTTTATTTATCTCTCAATCGGGTCAACTGTTTTTATTGCCTGTTTCGTAGATTTCATTCCTTCGCTTTTCAACCCTTGAAAAACTTTAATGTCTCTCCTCAACGTCTCATAAATTTTCCCAACGTTTTTCCGTAGTTTTCTAGTGAATAGTCTGATTCCTTTTTTTTCTTAAGTATTACGTATCGATTACTGTGAAAGTCGCATCACTCAATCAATCGTGTTTTCTCATTTTTGCGAGAAGTTTCGTAAGCTTAGTAGAGACAGACGTTATTTCTTCAGGAGATGTTTTCAACTCTTCTATCAGTTGAAGGTTGAAAATTTTTAGTACAATCTGGTGAGTAGTTGAGTTTACACATCATTGAGGTTTATTGGGGAAGGGTGGAATCAGATTATTTGAATATTACTTCAATTATTTACGAATGATTCTCAACATAAAACTAATTTTTTTGAAGAGAAAAATGAATTTTAAAAAAACTTAACATTTATTAATTTTTCCTTGAGATTTTTTTCATAGATATTTCATAGATGAAAATCAATACATCAATAGAGAAATTCTTGCGCATGAATTTTCGAACTCTTATTTGTTTTAATAAATTCTATAGAGGAATTACAATCAACGAAAAACAAAATTTGTAAAAAAAACTGCTAAAACTCACTCCACCCCACCCCAAAAATCGTTAGAATTTCTTCCATAATTCATCAAGCTTTCGTCAACTACTCTCGCCAAGTATACAAGAAAGTGCACCGAGAAAACCCCTTCGTTATAGCCTGATTACAAACTGTACTATATTACCCTTTGATTATTGATATGAAATTGCGAATGAATTCATTAACCATTACAATTTTTAGTCTTTATAATTTTAGAATTGTAATAAACTTGAACAATAGAATTTTCCCCCCACCCCAATCCATTAAATTACGAACGAATAATACTGATAAAATTGAAACTGTTAATTTTATTTAACAATGAACACAAACAATCAATCACATGATGACGAAAAACTCATTCAACGATCAATTTACCTCGAATCAATGATTTTCCGTGGCAACCGTTGCCACATTAATGAGTAATATAGTACATTTATACATTCCCCCTCAATTACACGAGTGTATACGATATAAATAGGAGTATACAATTATTTACATCAATTTATGTACATATAATGGAAGGTCACCAGTCAATTGAGTATTAAAAAACATATTCGATTTAAATGGCACAAAATACTTCACTGAGAACGCAATTCCTCAATTTCCCTAATTAAATTCTGAGCAATAAATTTATCATCATCAATAATAGTTTTTTAATCGCTGGAAACCTTCCGTTACACCCACAATATCACTTCAATAATTCGCCCAGTCTTCCAACAAGTTCGATAACGCAATGATAAACAAATAATGATAATTGTCTATTTCACTCGGCAATCACTCAGAGTATCATTCATAATTCATCTTTAAATTCCACTAATTAAATAATTTTTAGTGTCTTGTTGTGTCGAACGTCTTTCATTTATTTTAAATAATTAGTGCAAAGCTGTTTTGTTGATTATTACGAACATCCCTCGATTGATTAATTTTACTGAATTAAAACTGTTGAACACTTTTTTGGGAAAAGTGAAGCACGATTTTTTTTTTAAATTTAAATTATCAACTATTTATCTTGATTTTTCATTAGAAGTGTTATTCTCCAGAGCTTTTGTATCCCATCCACGCTATCTTCACGAGCTGATACGGCGTCTCACTTCAATTTCCGGTAGGCCCACATTCCATGAAATAGCTGTGGCATTAGTAGCACGACGCAAACTGTTACGAAGGAATGTGGCGCACGCTTTGCTGCGCTCGGTTATTATTTCGTAAAGATGATTCTCGATTGTGAGACTGTTGGTGCTGAGTAACAGTGGTATAGGCGTACTCATTATCATAAAGTTGCCAATATTAAGAGGAGTTTCCCATTGTCAGACACCGCTGTTCGGAAAGCGTGGCGGGGGAAGCGGGGGCGGTGCTCTTTCCGGTTGAGCGGGAGCGATGGAAGAGCGTTCTGATCCAGCTGCAAAAACAACTGTTGGGGATTTCATTAGTTTAGGGGGGTTTCTTAGATTTCTCATTGTTTAATTGTATTTACAGTTTCAAAACTGCATAATTTTTCGTACAAAAAGAAGAAATGAACGTAATTTAATAGAATTCTCATCAATTTTCTGCCATTTCTGTAATTTTGAAAATATCTGAGAAAGGGAGAGGTTCAGAGGAAATTGCGGAAAGGTTTCTCTGACATTCTCCTCTAGACCTGATACTTTCGGAAATATTTTTGAACCCATTCCCTGCATACCAACATTCTAATTAATAAGTCAACGAATTTCCCATCGCGAAATTAATTATTCAGAAAAAAATGATTCATTTTGGTTTTGAGGGAGGCAATTGCATTTAGATAATGTAATATCCAAAAATTCGGGTAATTCATGCAAAACATGCGACACAATTATTCATTAACATTCCCGCTAATGACCTATACTGTAAAACACTCAGGTGGCTTAACTTGACACATTAAACTCCAAAAGCTCATACACTATCTAAACAAGAAATACTATTTGACCTCTACCATGTTATTCTTTCTCAAAGTTACACGTGAGTCACTCGGAAACAGACAAAAATACAGTTCCTCCATCTGTTGATATATCATTAATTACAAAAATATTGTAAAGAGTCATTGTGAAGTCCCACGCAGGAAAATCCAATTGCCCTTTGTGATCTCTTCACGTATCGGTATTATTTTAACTACTACAGAGGCCAGTGTATCAGAATCGGGTGGATATTGTTGAATTTGTGATAATACAAGTTTGAATTATTGTGACGCGTTCAAATGAAGGATGTGTTGCTGTGGGCGTTTCAATGGATGATCAAATTATGAGAATTACTAATGATTATCTACGAGTTCAATTGTACAAAATAATCACAACTACGAGTATGAGACTATGGGTGACAAAAATTATTGAATTTGAAAAATATTTTTGGGGGTCAATATCTACGAAATGACGAAATTTACAGAAAATGTCGTGATTTATAAACGAAGTTTAATGGCATTTTTAACTAGTTTTTGGAATTAAATGGAATCTTTCACGAATACTTCAGATATTTATCAAAAGACATTTTTTGCTGTCATCATATTCTAGATATTGACAAAACAATGGACACAACATTTTTCAAATTAATAATTCTCACGATCAATATGAGTAATAAAGTAATGAATGAAGAATACGATAAATCATCGAATATGCAAAGAATAAATTTTCAGTATTAACCGAATGATTAATGAACCCAGAAGACCCTCAACGGGTCTCCTGTGCCCCCACACATAATCCAGAAGTTAATCATCAATATTAAAATCTGTAATTTCATAGATCCTCTTGCAGAATTCATGAGTAACAAGCAAATTCATAAACCAAATCAGTCAAATTAAACTCATGTTACGTTCAGCTAAAATCAAGAATTGATTGTTTCAATGATAATAATTAAACAAATAATAACGTATGGAAAAAATTCAATAGAAAGGCTATTCGTTTTTTGTCTATTTCTATTGAGAATTCCATTGCCTTTGATATTTTGATTTTTTCGCATGATTTTTTCTATAACAATTCTCGGACATAATTTTTTTCAATTCTTCGTTGAATTTTTCCTTTTTTTCATTACGAAATTCAATGAAAAATATAAAATATTTATGTTTGAGAATTTTTATTAAAAAAATTGTAATAGAATCGCATAGAAAAGTGAATTTTCAATAGAAGTGATTAAAAAATGAAGAGAATCCCGAGAAATTCCTAGCAAATGCGCTATTGAACTTTCTATTAGTTTTTGGTCGATTCTATTGAAAAATTCCGCAGCTTCCCTTCTCTTTCAGTACAAATGTTTAATGAAAAATAGTTTATAAAAAAATCTATAGAATTCAATTTTATTCAATTTATTCCATTGAGGTATTTTCTCTGGAAATTCCTCTTCAGAAATTTTCCAATTTTTTTCATTGGATTTTTCAATAAAAAAATTTGTGTAAAATACATTCTGTTTGACATTTTTTATGAAGAAAAACAGGCAGTAAAGCAGTGGAATTTTCCAATAAAATCCGTTAAATACTGATAAAATTTCAATACCCATAGAAATTCAATAGAAATCCAATAGAATTTTCTATCGAATTCCCTAGGTTTTTCAGTGAATTTTTTTCGTGCGTGTCACGATGATGATAATGATGATAAAATAAAATCGCTTACAGTGAGACTACAAATCAACGAATTCACGTACATACAGAGATAATAAATAAGGGGTGTCATGCAAAAGTGTTGAGGTCGAGGGGGTGGGAGGATGGGGGGACTGAGTAAGGATTCTCAACACGCAGCAAACGATTCCTCCAGGCCCAAGATAGCAGATACTGCAGACTCCACGAATTATTATTTTTTTCTCTTTTATTATGGGATTTTCAGACACAGAGCAAAGGGGATCCCAGTGGATTCTCCGGGTGCGCGTGAGGAGATTTTCATCACCATTTTTTCTCTCATTTCGGGGGATAATAAAGATACAATTGGAAATTGTTACAGTGCGAAGTGATTTTCCTCAATTGAAATTCCGGAATCCACGAGAATTGGGAATTTAAAAAAATTGAAAAAAAATTTCTCCATTTTTTTCAGATTTTTTTTGGTTGTTGCCAGTGGTTCATCTAGTGGGATTTGCAATTTTAGTGCGATTAGTTTGACGGAACGATTTTTGTGTAATGGAAAAAGCGTGGAGTGCCACTTTGCTGATAACTCAATTAATCCCTTCAATTTTCACAATTAATCGAGTGACGTTCCGTCCCTGTGCGTTCATATTCCATCGATTTAGAAAACAAAAATGATATTGGTAGTGGTTAACTCGTTCAAAGGCGTGCCATCTACCGTGTCAGTGTGCTCTGGTATTTTTAGGCAATTTTTTTTTTAAATTGAGTTGTTGAAAAATAAAAAGGTAAAGTATTCTTCTGATTTTTGGACCTTACCAAATTGCGGTGGAATTATATCAGAGGATCCTAAGTGTCCCCTGGGCTGTCATCTAAAATTTATCACCCAAACTTTGGCATAATTATGGTTTTTAACAAAAATAGTTGTAGCGAAGTGGTAAAATCAAATAATATAAAGAACATTTCTGATTAATAAATGAGTAATCAAATGAACTGGAGTCTCCACAAATTTATGAGTCGTGAACTAGTAGATTCGGAAATAATGATCAGACAACAACAAAAATTCGAATTAATTTGAAAAAAATTCTGGATGAATTTTGCTGAATTAATTAAATCCCAATAACTCTTCAGATATGTCTCTTCATTTTGCAAAATATTTTCGAAGAAAACCCAGAATAAAAAACCGTAAAAATGAGAAACAGATATGTATGAAAATATTTACCACTTCACTACATCAACACTCGTTCAATTGAACAATGAAAAAAATCAGTAAATGTCCTACCGATTGTTAACAATCCTATAAACAACAACAGTCCCTCTAATAAATTCGATGGCACACAGAGACATTGGAATAAGGGTCAATAGATATCATGTAACAATTATTGGCTACAGCCATGTCTGAGGAATTGTTTGCCCTGTTGATGGAAGTTTTGATAGTGACAGGTGATGATACGGGTGTTGTCGGTCAGGTTGACAGGCCTTACATGAATCAGGATGGGGCTTCTCCTCTGCCACCATGAGGGCTGCACTCTCTGCCGGTGGTATGTGTCCCTCTAACGCATTCGTACAGTTTAGCATGGTCCTGCAAAACACCACGCCACTTGTTTCCAACATTTTTTTCTCTCCTCCAATATTTTTCATTCCAATTTTTTATGACTCCTCACACTCTTCACTCCTCCACTTAACTCTCTCTCTTTTTTTAAACTTTATTCTGAGAGCGACATGCAATTTTTGTTATCAACTTTCCGACTGACTGAATGAGCAACAGAGAGTGTTTCTGCTGCATGAACAGCTTTCGATTTAATCGTGACACGACAGCTTGCAAAACATTTAATGAATTTTTTTTTTTCGGTGACACTTACACGTCTCATTGCGGGAATTCGTGTGTTTCACGGGTGCTGCTTTCACGCTTACATGAGTTGGATGACACGAAGAATTTATGGTATCAATAAAAAAATTAACGAAGAGAAAAGTAGACTTGAGAGGCGGTGAAGTGGATTTTTTTAGCCGTGAATAACTCGAGATCGGCAGTGGGAAATTGGACAATTTTTTATGCTGAAGGAATAAAGTTTGAATTAAAAAATTGTTGTCATGAATCAAACTAATAATTTCGTTCGTGTAATGCAACTCTGACGTCGAACACAGTAGAATGCACAATGAGACATGTAAGAGTGAAAATCACCTGCTGTTTTTATCATCATCCCAAAATAAAATGCATTTCACAGTTTCTATCCTTCGACTTTACGTAATCAAAAACATGAAAATATCTCAAACATTGTGAGATATTCACTGGCCTGTGTAGTAGAAAAACGAGAAAAAGTAAACGTGAATATCAGTAAAATAATTGAGCGTTAGATATCTATTAATTACATTTCACACTCATGAATTATCCAACGATTCAACGAATTATCTCAGTCAATCCTAGATTTTATAATTAATGATTTCTGCATCTGTACAATCAGCAATTTACAAAACAATCTCATTATCGTTTAATCTATTTACAGAGAAATGGAAAAAATGAAAAAAATGAGACATGAGGGATGATATATCCACAACATCACACGCAATTGTAAAAGTAAAAAAAAATCAACAAACAGAGTTATTTATTCCACAACATCAATTGAAATCTCCTGACGGATAAAATGATATTTCTCTTATTTGTCTTCTTCAGTAAAAAAAAATTCTCTCTGCACTGGTGATGCCGAAATATTCGTAACACAATGATGACGATGAGATGAAATGAGATGAGATGATTTACATTAATCAATACTTCAGCAACTTGACATTAAGTGACTATCAACAATGTAAATACAACACTGTACGTAATTAATTAAACTGTTGGGCTGTTTCTCCTCGCGGATAATCAAATTCAATAGTTCATTTCAATGTTTAATTTATCATTATGATCTATTGGTAGCGTTAGTATGGGTGGCAGTGGTGGCATCGGATAGGACGGTCTCCTTGCTAGAGTTAGTCGTGAGCTCTTCTTCCCTGCAATACAATAACGTATACATGGCCATCTCGCCATTCCTCTTTTTCTCTCAAAAGTGTTTTCTCCTTATTGTCAAAATATTCGTTCATATCTCCCTGTTCTTAAAAAAAAATTTCTGTCGTCTCCTCTTGTTTACTTTATTATCATTTTCACAAATGATTTACGGAATAACAATTAATCAAGGACTCAAGCTTCAATAAATCACTGAATGTTTCGGCAAAACCTTTGGATTAAACTACCAAGCGTCGAATAAAAGAATAATTAACAATGAATACCTGAAGTTGAGGGGAATTTTATATTTATCCCGATATTTGACGAAGTAAATTGACTTGACGAGTGGACCATTAAATCGGAAATAGTCGAGGATGTCCAATAAATCCCCCCTCCCCCCACTTCAGATACAATACATAATACACAATACATAAAGCCCAATGAACCCCTGGAAATTTGGGCATCGGAATAGTTAATAAAAAAGTAATAAATTCTAGAATGGAAAATTGAACTTCAGCCGTATCGACTCTCGCCATTGCACTGATTCCTCAAGCACCAGATATAAACCCCTCATGTACAAACGATATTAAACGATATTGGTAAATAAACTGATGCGAGTATATGCATTTATGTACTTAAACGTTAAATCGGATTTTCCAAACTATTGCGAAATATAACCGGAAGTCAATATGCAGTGGCGAGCAAAAATAGATGGGCTGCGGTAATTAAAGCACATTTTCATACACCACCCAACCCCCCATCCCACCAACTAACCAGTCTCACCCAATCTAGTGAGGCGAGCACTTTACTATTTTAATGAAAAATCTATTATAACGAACCTCAGTTAATACGATAAAAACGTGGAATACTTTTTAAAAAAGCAAACTCACATGCAATATCGCAAGTCACAGCGTCATTAAAATTTCATTGTTTATTTATTATTCGTGCCAGCTATTTTTTAATATAATTTTTATCAGGAATAATTGAAACGAAAGATAAATAATTCATAATTTATAGAAAATTGTTGAAATAAAAATTATGATTCTTCCATTTCCATAATTAATTAATTAATTAATTGATTCATAATACAATGATTAAATATTAATTCACTAATAAACGTAATTAATAAATAGGAGCATGCAGATTGTTTTCAATTGTAATTATTCTGTTGCAAGACTCCGAAATTCAGAAAAGGTTCGGGCTTTCATGTGATTAAAATTATCGATTTTGTTGAGTTTTGTCTGGGCTTAACCTGGTAACTTGGGTTTTAATAACATGATAGCCTCGACTCTCAGCAGAAACTGTGAAATGTATCTTCACGTTGAGTAAAAGGTTTATTTATCATTTATTTAAGTTGTTCATGCAGCTATGGTAATTGATGTCATTATTCATTGTAACGGGGCTCTCATCGGAATTTTTTTTGGTAACTAGTGAGAGATAAATTAGCATATTTAACATGCTGTACCAGGAACTTACGTTTTTGTGTCATTTGATTCCCATTTTGGGGGATTTTTGGCGTAATTGGGGGAGAGGGAAACAGCTGCAGTGAAGTAGTGAATTTTTTGTCTGACATTGTCGTCTGCATCTACTGGTTAATTGGGGAGAGACGGGAAATAATGGAGCCAATATCAACGCATCAATTCAGTTTGTTTTTTTTTTCATACGTAATTTTTTTTTGAATCAGTATTCTTCACAACTTCACTGCACAAATAATCCCCCGATTTATTATGATAAACAGACACATTTGATACCTCTTCATGCATGAAATTGAACCAAAAAATGTAATAATCGAGTAACCAAAAAGCAACCATTGCAGATAACGAAACATAACTCATGTTTCTGATATTTCAGTTGAAAAAAAAATGTCCCTCATATTATTTTCTCTCTAGTTTCATCTATTTTTCACAATTGAGGTGGACTCACCCATAAAGTCTGCTGTCCCGCAAGCTGCTCCTGCTCCAAATAACACAGACAGAAAGCACAGTTACGACGACAGTAGTACAACCGTATACCATGTATATAAAAAATTCAATATTAAATTCCTCTCGGTATCGTGAAATGAATAAATCAAATAAATTCAAAGAAAATAAATGGAACGAAAAGAACTCATAAATTCAAAGAATCATTTATTCTGTAAACAATATTATGTACAATATGCAAAAATAATATTAATGTCTCGTAATAAACTGAAACGAAGCAAATGACTACAGTTATGAATTTCATTGCAGGGACAGAGAAAGTTAACAAAATCAACATTTTTCTTTTCACTCTTAATTAGAAAATTCAACAATCAACAACTTAGGGACTAAATCTGAGCAAAATCCTTTGTGCGGTGTCTTCTATGCGCTTTTTGTGAGTGAGACTATTTCTCTAGGCTTAAAATAATTTAGATTTTAGTTAACAGAAAGGGATGGGGTCAAAAGAAATGTGAATTTTTTATTGATATGATTTTTTTCTGTGGTTTGATGGAGTAACGTACGGGAAAATTAGTAGAAAAAAATAGAATTCAAATAGAATTGATGAACGAATGCACTAGATTTTCCACTGAATTTTTTCATACGCTTCCAAGTTGACTTCTAAAATAATAAAACAGTGGAACAGCCTATCACACTTGAACGGTTAAATCATAAGTTGAAAAATGTAAATTTTCGTGAACCCAGTGATGAAATTTCTATAGGAATGCTTCCATAAAAATAGTTGTAAATATTTTGAAGAGAGGAAAAAATTTCCATTTCCCCCATTCGCACTTAATTTCGCATTTCGTCGCCTCACAATCACCTAAAGGCTCAAATACTCATCAAAACTTGAAAACAAAATGAATTTATGAACGTTTAAACCCAATAATTCACTGAAACTACCAGAATCCTGAATAAACACCCTTATCTCCTTGTTTCCACCTCACCACAGTCATTAAAATACGTATATCATTCAAGTTCCTGGGGTGGGAGAGGGAGAGTTAAACAATTATTTATCACAGAGTACAGAATAACGAGTATATGAATGCAATACTAGTAGTAAAATAGTCCTAACGCGAATTCTCCCGTGAAATACACAAGTGCAAGACTCATCATTGCATGCAGGTAACGTAATAACGCTTTGTCATCGTCAAATGGAATTCTCCACATCAGAATCAGTGAAATAGTCGCTGAATTCTCAATGCAACCGCGTGACATTTCAAGTTTTCAGCCGCCGAGTGACGCGCGGTGAATATTAATGACAAAAACTCTCGACAGAAATTGAATTTTTTTTTTCTATTCAACATTGGACTCGATTTGAATTTTTTCCCCCATTTTCTGTCATTGGGTTGCGGTTTTTTTTGTTATTGGCGATTTTCACTGGGAGGAGTGAGGGAGGGAGGGCTTGTAAGTGTCCGGCTTTCTCTCCGTGGGCGCTTTTCCATCATACCTGTCATGACCGTGCCTGAACAGCGCTAGGATCTCCTCGAAGGTCTTGTTCTTCGTCTCGGGTACCTTTTTATACGTAAATATCCAGAAAACTGCTAGGAATCCACTGAAGGGGAGGAATGTGTAGTTGTCGAGAACAGCCTGGAATAGACGAGGGGTTTTTTATGGTCAAATGTATTTTTCAATCCGAGATGTCAGGGATTTTGTAGTTGGAATGATAACTAAAGATTTTTGCGTTGTCTTAAGTTACAAAATTATTATGTAGAAAGATTATTTTGAGGGATGAAAAATGATGGGAAAATACTTCAAACAAGTGGAAAGACATTTCCAAGTTTACGACAGCACTAAAAATGCATCTTGTGGTAAAAAACAGTGAGTGAGGTTTTCACTCTTCAAGACTGTTGCAAATTTTTATCGCGTAGTTACACTGAAATTTCGGGGAATTTTGTCGTTGGACACTTAAAAGTTCAGGGAACAGTCAAGGGAAGCTGTGAATTTCAGTTCAATTATTCCATAAAAATTAATGGAGATCAGAAGAATTGAGAAAAATTGATTTTCGAATTTTCAATTAATTGAAAACGCGTGTGAAAACACACGCATGAAAAAATTCTATTGGAATTCTATTGAAAAATTCTATTCGTTTTTTGCGATGATTCTGTTGGATATTCGATGAGAGAAAGTCAATAGATTTCGAATTTCTGTTTAGAATTTTCTCTTGAGATTTTTTCTATAAAAAATGTTTGGGCATCAATGTTTTAAATTTTTTCCACTCTGATTCTGTAATTTAAATAACACAAAATGCAGTGGAAAAAGCAGAAAATTTGTGCCCAAAATTTTCAAATAGAAATAATCTCAAGAGAAAAATTCCAATAGAATTTTCTAGCAAATTCGTTAAGTTTTCTATTGAATGTTTTAATACGTGCAATTTATCTCGAACGAGAAATGAGTTGTCGCGATGAAAATTCACAGAAGATCGTTCGACAGATGACTAATGCCTCTTTAAACGTGTCAAACTACTCAATATTATCTGAAAAAATATAAATCGATGAAACTCACCATCATGCTTGGAAAAGCAATGCCAACAACGAAATTAGCCATCCAATTGATAAGTACAGCGATCGACATAGCAGCTGGTCTAGGTCCTTGTGAGAACAATTCAGCCGTTATCATCCATGGTATTGAGCCTGGCCCCACAGCGAAGAATACCACGAAGCTGAGTGTCGAGACAACCGATAGATACGACATCCAGCCAATCATTTCCTGTACGTAATTGAAAAACTCCTATCAGGGGGTAGTACCGATTGTTCGTCTTTCCTGAGCAACTGGAGGAGCCTCAGGAGTGTTAAACGTAAAATTTCATAAACAAAGTTAACAAAAGTGATCGAAAATAATAGTCAAACCATGCAGTTGTGCTCAGACCTGCTCCACTGTTCTCTCAAGCCTTTAATTATCTTAATTTATGTTTTTGTGATTTAATATTAATGTTGTGAAGTGATGTATCAAACGTAATGAGACAAGTTCATATTCCGGAAAAATACAATATCTGACTCATTGCATTTCACGCATTAAAAAAATTATAGATAAACCTCGCGAATTTCTACAGACTTTCAGCATTTTTCTTCATGGAAATGCTCAAGGGAAGATATTTTTTACAACTTATTCTGTCGTTATTTGTTATCTGTTATTTCGTTATTTCATTTACTCTGGAGCTTTTTTTATAGAATAATTGCTGCGGTAGATTTTCTATTAAAAAAAACCTGAAGTAAAACTGCGGAATTCTTCCATAGAATCGGCGAATTCGCTGGGTTTTTCTATGAATTTTTTTCACGCGTGTCTCCCACTTCACCACATAATAATGTGCACTGTGACTTAATTACCCCTAAATCTCTCGCCCCAAAAATGTGATATTAATTCACAGTTTAAGCGCACGATGAAAAAAGCGTTAAAAGTGATGAAAATTTTGAAATATCTAAAAATCCATTAATTCTGATTGATAAACGTGAGTAATAGTGCCAGGATTATCATGAAAACTTCGACCTCGCGCTCCAATGAGGGGAAGTAAAATGTTTATTCACTCTCCTGCTTTTTCCACCCACCCCCAACACTACTTGAAATAAATAGCACCTGAATGCTTCAATAAATCGAGTGAAAGAAAAATATTTCACGATCACTCGCATTGAATTTATAATGAAAGTATTGGACGCCTCTAGGAATTTATGGTGAGCATTAAAAAGCCATTGGCATGTACGAATGAATAGCAATATACCGTTAAGTAACAGGTTTGAGCTTACGAGAATTATGAAAATTGCAGAAATTGAATTAATGAAAAAAAAATCATGAAAAATAAATGAGTATAAAGGTGTCCCTCCTCCAAGCTGTCACGAAAGAGGTCGAAATGATGAGGGGATGGGGAGGGGGGAGGGGGTTGCAACATAAAGAGAAAAAAAAACATAAAGAACAGGGAATGAGAGGAATGAGAGGAACGAGAGGAATGAGTAAAATCGTAACATAAAAAGGAATTGAGTGAATGCATGTGGTTTTTTGTTATCGGCGGGATCATTATGTACATAACGATGATGTACTGTCGTTCAGAATGAGCACAATGAGTGTGCTTTAATGGATTCAGGCTCGATAAAATCAGGGGAGATCAATGTACACTAGAGGAAAAAATGGAAATTTATGATTGGGAAAAAACTAATTTGCGAGATGTGGGGATTAACATTCAGTGGAGAGTGTAAAATTTTTACGAGGAACAGAAATTTAAGTGGAGGGATTATTTTGTGAAATGGTAAAGAATATGTGAGTTGAGTGTCAAAGAATTTTTTCAGTTTTTCAATGAAAAAATCGTGGTTAGAGAATTTTTGTATTTTTAAGAGTAAGAAAATCTGCTATTCTTTGCCACTCGGGGACCGAATGATGAACAAAAATGCTTAAAAATTGTCGTAAGAAGCGGCGCATGCATGGATGATCATGGGACATATTGATTCTTACATACTAAATGAACAAACATGATTGTTATTGATGTTAAAATATTTAGCAAGTGATATTATTCTCACAGTTGTGTGCAGTGCCTCACTCCAGCTGGGAACAAAGCTTTTAAAAAGTACCCTTAGCACTCGTGTGTGCCCGTGACAAAAGCCACAAAAAATCGGTATTTACAGCTGTTGTGTGCCTCGTCATATGATTCAAAGCCTTTTGACTCTTTCGTAAGTTTTGAAGTCGTGAATTATCGGTTAAAATTTGACATTGTCGTAATTTTGACTATCAACCTTTTCTTACTTCATAAAGTATTTTTAGAATTCTTTTTTTTTCGTCTAGTGGATAGAGTCGAGGTGGCACAGTGACTTACCTTGATGAGGAATGAAATTGTGATGAATATGGAAAATATAAACATTCCACCGAGACCGTAGAGATGGAGAGTTCTTCTTCCAGTTCTGTCCATTAGGGGTATTGATACTAGAGTCATTATCACCATTATTGCACCGATACCGATTGAGGCCAGTTTAGCACTCTCTTCAGTCAGTCCAGCATTGTGGAATAATTGGGTGGAGTAATAAAACACCTGCGAACAGCATTTTACTTATTTGGAGGGGATGTTTGTCTAGAATTTTTTTGTGCAGAAATATTCCCAAGATGTTCATTGATTCTAGTAGATTTTGAGAAAAACGTTACATGAATGTTTTTAACTTAATGGCAAACTTGAAATTTTATTCTACACTGAGAGAAAAACGACAAAGTTCTCAAACAAGTCTTACTTGTGCGAAGAGAATAGTTTTTTGAAAATGATCAAAAAAGGATTTATTTGGGACAAATATGGGAGAGTGTGCCGGGATGAAAAATTTTTGTCGCAAAAATAGATTTAGTAGCTCAAAAAAAATTTCATTCTCTGTACACGCAAGAAATGTCATTTCTAGCACTACTCCTTCGTTATTCGATACTCCTATACGTATTTTGCTCCCGAAAAATCTTTGTTTTATGCGAAACAAGGGATAGTAGTTTTTCGTTTCGGCTGTCTAATAATCACAGACAACAAATGAACCCTTAAATGAAACAATAATAATGATATGATAGCAATCTTGTAACTTGGGGATTAAATATTTGTTGATAAATTTTCCTCTATATGAGATATTTTCATCCTGAAAAGGCACCGTCTGGTGTGAATTATCCGCCTCTTGAGCCAAATATTTCATTGCTGTCGAAAGCAGAATAATTATTCATGTTCGAGACTTTCAAATTCGAACCAAACAAATTCTTTTTGGCAATTTTTAACTAGCGATTTTGTTGGCCCAAACAAGATTTGTTTGACTACGTGTTTGTTTTTGTCTCAGTGTATTAAAAACAACGAAATTTTCTTGATGAATTTTCGAATACATCTTCTGCGTACAGCTTAATTCTTAAGCATAAATATTCCATATATTTCCGTGAATTTAGTCGCAAGTGATGAATTGGAATCGATAAAAAAAGAAAAAAACGATTTTCCACTAACGCATGAAATGAGTGAAAATTCATCAATAAAATTTTCAACAACTGTTAAATATCCGTCCCAAGAGCCCATAAAACCGAATAATAGTTCAATAACTCCAGATGTACTCAGATACCTCAACAATAGTCGACGACAATTATAACTTACAGCATTGATACCAGAAAGTTGCTGAGAGAGTTGCATGACCACACCAATAACAAGAGGTGCCCTGAGCGTTGGACTGCATATAAGCTCACTCATTTTAATTGTCGACTCAGCCTGTTGAGCCCTTTCCTCCGCCCTCATTTCATCTATGTCCTCCTCAACTTGGTTACTACCCCTTAACCTTCTCAAAGCCCTACGTGCCTCCTCTTCCCACTGCTTTGTAATGAGCAAATATCTGTACAAGTGATAATGATAAACATGTCGTCAGGCATAAATTGAACATTGTAGAAACTTTGGGATGAAGAGACTAAACTTCGTCAAGTTTCTAAACAATTCGGTAACCTAAATATAGGGGACGGGGGGCTGAGTTCTGGCAAGTTTAGAGGTATTGTGCTCGCAAGTGGAATAAGGAGATAAGCAGAAATCTTGGGGAACATTGAAACTTCGATACAAATAAGTTATTGAGTAATTAAAATTGTGGGAAAGAAATAAATATCAAAGAAATCAAACCGACGTGAACTATTTTTTTAGAAAATGAGAAAATTTGCACTAAAAAATTCATAAATATATTTTTTTAATAACAATAAATTTTTTTTATTTTGACAATGAATAAAGTCATTAATGAGATGATAACTCAGAATTAATTCAATTTTTTTCATCTTGAAATAAATGATAGTATTGGGTAATATAAAAAAAACTCCTCAGTCAACTTCATTACCTCGGGGATTCTGGACAAATTGGTAGTAACACAAGTTGGGCAATAGCAGGAACAACAGCAAGACCCAGCAGTATCGGCCAACGATCATTTGTACCGAGTATCTTCTCAATTCCCAACACCTGGGAGATTAGGAGGCCCACCGTAACAGCGAGCTGGTTTACCGTGCCCAGGCCGCCTCTCAAATTCAATGGCGCTATCTCCGATATGTACATGGGTACCAATGATGTATTTAATCCACAATTAATACCAATTACGAAACGACCCAAGAATAGCATCTCGTATGAGTGGGCAACTTTAGTAAAACCCATAAGGCATGCCCCCACGATGCCCAGCATGTTGTTCAACAGTAAGCCCCCTTTTCTGGTAAAATTATTGTTATTAAAAATTTTACTCTCCTCTTCGCGAATAAATGGAATTAAAAAAATCGATTGATTGATTCTGTTGCGAAGTTTTGCAATTATTTTTCAAGTGGAAAAATATTAAAGATAATTTTTGGAGATATTTTCGAAATGGTTGAGATGATAATAAATTTAATTTTAATTATTTACCATTTTTTTCTCATTGTGGTCCCGAATGCCAATTAATTTTAATGAAATTGACAAGTAATCAGTGGATTTCTCTCATTTAACGCAACATTTCGCTTCAGAATCAATTTTCATGTACTCATTCGAAGAATTCGTTAATTAAAAATGTTTTGATGGACTTACCTGCCAAATCTGTTGGCTATAACGCCCCCGCTAATACCACCGACCATACCCCCAATAGCAAATATACTAACTGCCAATGAGAACAACCTCTTAACAGACTTATCCGACATGTCATCGCCATATCTGTCTTTATACACATCTTTCATGAAATTCTCAATTTGCTGAAAGAATAGTTCACTCTTTAACACTAATTCAACGTGCAACCATTTTTTTCCATCTTTCGTAATTATTTTGAGTTGATAAATTCTGCAGTTCAGTGGAGGAACGTAACAAACTAAATATAAAATATTTGCTAATTAAGTAACTGTCTCAATTAAGAGTGATTTCAGTGGAAAATATCTTGTGTCGCTGGTAATCGAGATAATTAGATGATTAATAAAATGTGGAGCATCGAATTATTACGTTTCGCCACTCGACGGCTGAATTCTATTTTCTTTTTTGTCATTTTTACCCCTGACGGTGCATTTATCACTCCGGTATTATAGCCAAACTGCAGCATCCCCAGGACTGCAGCGAATATCGCATACGCGAGGAAAAACGTCAGCCCCTGAAAGCAAAAAGCAATGAAAATAAAGAAATGTTTGAGAGAAAAAAGATTAATTCAACATTTAACGTTAAAAACATCTGCAAGAAATCGATAGATGATAAAATTATAAAACTAGCGTTATGAATAAAAAAAAACAATAAAACAAGACAAATAATAAACAAGGGAATTTATTGAGCATCCAAAAACACATGAATCAAAATAAATCATAATTACATAAATATGAAATGAATAGAAACGATTGATTAATGATTTAATGATTTGATGAAATGAAAACAAAAAAATAAATAAAATAAAAAAGATAATCAACTCATTAAAAATTTATTAAAGAATCAACAGATGATGAAATTATAAAATTATCGTTATGAATATTAAAGTGAAAATAAAACAAAACAAATAATGAACAACGGAATGAACAGAAACAATTGATTAATGATTTGATGATTTGATGAAATGAAAATAAAGAAATACATAAAATAAAACAGATAATCAACTCATTAAAAATTTATTAAAAAATCGACAGATGATGAAATTATAAAATTATCGTCATGAATATTAAAGTGAAAATAAAACAAAACAAATAATAAACAAGGGAATTTATTGAGAGTCTAAAAACACATGAATTAAAATAAATCATAATTCCATAAATTAAAATAATGAAATACATAACAGAAAAATGAAGATAATCAACTCATTGAAAAATCCATAAAAAATCGACAGATGATGAAATTATAAAATTATTGTTATGAGTGATAAAAAGAAAATAAAACAACAAATAATAAACAGAGAATTTATTGGGCGTCCAAAGACACACGAATTAAAATAAAACATAATTACGTAAAAATAAAACGAATAAAAAGATTGATTAAAGATTTGATGTTGGACCTGCTCCAGGAGCCTCAGTTTCCTGCGATGCGAGTGTTCCTCCAGTCTGTCCACATACTCCCTCAACTCCTCGATCTCCTCCTTCACCTGCTGCACAGTGTCTAGCTCATGCTGCACGACACAAGCAACAAGAATAACACTCTTTTAAAACGGCGAGTAAAAATTCTATTTCTTGTTGAACGCCCATTAAAGGGCGATTCCAAATATATTATTCGTAACTAAAAACTCCACCCGGAACAAAAAATATATTACGCGTAATTCTTTGTTCAAATAGAATGAAAAATTGATGAAATGTACAATTTTTCGTGAATTCAAACCCATGTCCAAAGAAAAATCGGAGAAAACTTTTTCCTAGCCACATTTTCGATAATAAAAGTTCTATAGAAATTGCGGAATTTGAATTCTCTTTAATAATTAAATCTGTAGAGTCCCCCACAGAAAAAACCACAGAACTCTTCTCTAGATTTTCTTTCTACATCATTAAACCCTTCCCAAGAGGAGGAAAAAATATAAAAAAATCGTAACAAAAATAATTATCGAACATGATTTATAGATGTTTCATCATCCAAGATGTCGTACACTATTTACTTATGTGTCTCCAAAAATAACGAAAAAACGAACGAAAGGTCAGCATTCCCAAGATTATACCTTAATCGCCACCATATCACGTTTGACCTCGCTGACCTCGCTCTGACAAGACTCAACACTCTTAGTGAGCTCCTGAAGTTGCGTACGTATTTCACACAGAGCTACAGTGGTCTCGAGCTGGCGGTCACCCCGCTGTAGCTCATCCAGCTTGGCACTCAAGTTCATACTCATCACGCTGACCTGTTTCTGCAGACTGCGACACACACATTAGCCCCAATGAATTTTCCATTTTCCCCCGTTTCTGTTTTTTTTTTAACACCAGCCCCCCGAAACGCTCCACGTCCAAACACATCGGACACATCACGTATACAGAGGGCATTATATTCCCCAGCACTTTTTTACAACACATGGCCGCTAAGACTAAGACCAGCTAACAAAGCCAGTCCCTATTTAGACGTCTAAATTCTTTTTTTTTACGCGCTGCCGAGCTTTCAAGCTCTTTCACACTCTGAATCGTTTTAGGCGGATTTTTTCATTCATTTTACCCCCATTTTTTTTCAATTTTGGAGAGTGCACTCAGCTCGGCAGCAGTTGAATAATCTTTTTTGTTTATTTCTCTTTTATTTAATTTCATTCACGAGAGACAAAAACACAGACAATTACAGATGCCAAACTAATAAAGCGTGTTTAATAAATAAAATGGCGTTAGTTAATCGGTTAATATTGTGTTTTGTGGTTGTGTCAGGTTGATAAATTAAAAGACTGGTTACACCGAGGGGCTAACTCTTGATTTTTTTCATTTTTAATTATTTAGAATTTAATTTCAAATGTTTTATGATGATAAAATCGATCAAATGATGGGTAATTGTTAGCCCCTTGGATTATGCTGTGCACTCTGAGGAGACTCGGGGATTTTTCGTGAATTCACGCAAGAAAAAATTTCGTAGAAACACCAATTGAATTCCACTGAAAATTCTGTTGGATTCTGTTGAACTCCTATCTAAAATATTCCCATTAGAATAACTTGCAGCGAATTATCGAATTTTATTAATTTTTTATAGGATATTTTTCATTGAACATTTCCACTGAAAAAATGCTCAAATGAACTGCGGAATTTTTCAATAGAATCGCCCAATAAAAATCCCATGGATTCTTCTGTGAAACATTTTCGAGTATTCGATATTTATAAAAAAATCGAATAAAAATTGCCTTTCGACTCTGAAAAAGGATTGAAAGTCCCTTGAATGCGGTTTAATGAGATCGGTTTCACACGATGAGACTGAAAATATGTCATCCAATGAAAAAAAATAATGATTCCAACCCTCGAATCTCCTCACTCCTAAAAAAAATCAACTCGTTAAAAAAATCTCCTCCCACAACTCAACTCAGAACGAAAAAATTCTCCCCCTCCAATAAAATATTTCTTCTATTAAAATCACATCCAATCGCGACTGATCCGGCACTGAAGGCACGATGCAAGTGCTCGATAATAATCAACAGAAAAAGAAAACCAATAAAAAAGATACCCCTGATATGAAAAAAAAAATCGAAAAAAATGAACCAGTGAAGAGAAGAAGTGAACAGTGAATAACGATATCTCTGGAGCAATTCTCGATTATCGGTGGTGCACAGCGAGGCGTGAGGTGAAACTTTTGGCTCTCAGGAATTATTGAAGAGTACTGAGTCGTTATGAAAGTTGAGAATAAAAATACTAGACTCCGAGGGAATTCATTTCTTCAAATAAGTGAGTGATTCAAAAAGATTATTTTCAATGGAAAAAAAAATGTAAATCGATTTTCTTTTCAGAAATAACTCCACTCTTCGCCTTCAAATGATAATAAAGGGGTGATGAGGGGGTGGGGCAAAATGGTGAGACAATGAATTGACATGAAATTCCATTATAATGATTAAAATGTTGCAGAATGATGAAAAATAATGAAAAATATTATTATGTTAGATAATAATCAGTGAACGAATGTCGTTATGTACCTGGGAGATAGGGAGACCATGGCTGTGTTCCGAAACTACAGTAGCCCTCTACGCCTCCCTCAAACCTCACTCACTTCCTCCTCCAGACTCACTAGATTTTATTTAATCTTCAAGTAATTATTTATCGCTCTGTATAATCTCAATAATCATTATTGGATTAATCAATGTCTCACGTCTTTCGATTATTAGATTTTTATGATCTCCGACGCATGTAATCAACTCACACGGCGTTAATCCGATACACAATAACCCCATGTATTTGCACACAATATCTCGATCAGTCTCGGCCGAGTGGGTCCAACACACACAGAAGCTGGAGAGTGACCCGACCACCACTTTTTAGCACTCTGTTAGCTTTACCTAGTTTAGGAAACACAGTCGTGGTTCAGTAAGATGCTTGATGGCGTCGATCGCTCGCAATTAACAATACAAATGTGGACACAATTTTTTTTTGCTTCTTCTTGAGTAAAGAAATTTGATGAGTTAAGAATTTATTCCTATTCTCCATGAATTTTCGGAATTCAATGCCATTATTTTTTACTTTTGTGATTTTTACGATTTAGAAAAGATAAAGAAAATGTGAATTCTCAGAAGTTGACATTTTTTAATTAATTTGTTTTTTTTTTTCGGAAAAATTGAATTCTCGATCCTCATGGCCCCTCAAAATTCATCGATAGAAATACATTCTTGGTGACAAGGAATATTGTGCCTGCACTTGTGTCGTTATCGCCAATTAGTTCAATGAATTTTTTTTCTTTTTGGTAACTTTGTTAATTTTCAGTTGCGACGCGCCGCCAGCTTACTCACCCCTGCCTAGATGCCCGCGTCCACGAGCGAGCTTGTAATTAGAACGGGCCCCATCATTCAACGCACATGAAGATGATTACATAATTTTTATTGCCAAAAATAATTAATAAAAATCAGCGTGACCTCATGAGTGATTGGCGGACGATGCATGAATTATTTCAATCGGAATCATCATTTTCATGACACATTTTTCGATGAATCACGTACGAAAAAATTTAATTGAAGAATTTAGCGGAATTCTATTGGATTTTTTACTGCTTTTTTTCTAGGAAAGATCCAATGGACAATATTTTATAGAATAAATTACTAAAATTTCATCTTTTTATAGAACTTCGTCTATTGAGACAGTTTCTATAGGAATTCCTCGACAGGAATTTTCCAAGTTTTCGTCTGTTAATTTTTCTCTTCTTTTCATTCAAGACATCAAATGGAAAAACTCGGAAAATTTTAGTTACGAAATTTCTGTAGAAAGTATTCTACAGAAAAAATCCATATAATTAGATTTTTCAACCGATTCTATTGAGATAATTTCCACAAAAATTCCTGGTTTCAATTGTTAAAAATCCTTCAATTTTTTTCGCTTTTCATTAAAAAGAAATAACTTGTCAAATTCATGTCGAGGAATTTCTGAGAAAAATTGTCTGAAATTCTCCCAATTTTTTCTGTAAAACATTGCTATCCTCCAAAAACCAATAAACTTGTCAGTAGAAATTCGCCCCATTTTTCAATGCAAAATTTCCGTGAATAATAGTCATGCAAACTATTTTCTCATGACAAAGTGCAAATTTTCACGATTTCCTTCGCTCAATGTTTTTTCTCCATTTTCCTCAGAAAAATGTCTAACAATGTAGCAATTTACTGATAAGAATTATTGAACACCCAATTATTGACAAGAATTTATTCATGCAACCGACCATGAGGGACATATGATAACAAAGTGAATGAGCAACCAGTGGTAAGCCTGCGAGCGTCGCGCAGCGAAAAAAAAGTAACGATAAAACTCAAAAAATGTTCTTGAAAAACGTAAAAACAATAGCACCAAATGATAATCATCAAACTGAGAATAATGATTCAGAGACCTACAATCCTGAAAACATTGACATGTGATCATTAAAACTTTGGTGTGACATTATGTACAACAATGTATAGTTGCAGTGTCTATTTTTTATGTATGAATAATGATATTGCCTGAAGATAAGCATTTGCGTTAGAGGCACTCTCGTAAACACTGTCTATAGAGGAGATCGGAATGTTTTCGTTTAATTCTATGTGTAGAGCCGCGCTCACGACTCAATAAAGTTGGATCAAAAGTTTTTTTTCTGCACGAACTAGGTAATATGAATATTTCAGTGGGAAGCGTAAAAGTTGCAGGGGGGGAAATTTCTGCTGATTTTTGGAGGGGATTAATTAAAAAGTTGTAATTGGAGATGTCTGATTGTTCACCAGATGATCAGTGATGCAGTGGCCGAACGCATCACGATGGTCAATTTTTTCAGATCTTTTTATTCTGATAATCGACGTTTTCAACATCAGTGAATAATTTTAGAAAATTGTTTTGAGTCATTAAAAAAACATGATCCCTTCAGCATCAATTCCCCCCCAACCCGCCGAATGATGAAAAATTCAGCACAAAACAGGAAACAAATCTACAGTTGTGCACGAAAAAAGAAAACGAGTTGTGATTTTCCGGGACATGTTACCAGAACTTTATCACCAAATTTGAGTGGTAAAAATGAATGATAACAAATTCCTAAAAATCAGCGACATGTTTCTGAAAATAAAAATTCTCTGTATGTCTTTAACCCAAACGTCTACAGTGTTGAACCGCGTCTACAGAACTCCAGTGGTTGCCAAGGGACTTGAGGACCACAGGAAGAACCACATAATGAAAATAAAAATTAGCAATAGAACGAAAAATCAATGAATCAAAACTTACTCAAAGTACATTAAAGTTCGATAGAATTCAATGGGCGAAAGAAAAATATCGCTTATGGAACTCGGTCTTATTATTTTCAATGTTTTATGTTTTCTGGGGATCATCGATGTTGACGACAGCCTTACGTACCTTATGAGCAACTCCCTGAGAGTGGCTTCATCGTCCTCCTGTATTTCTTCCTGCGTCTCATTACTGAATACCCCACGTGGATAATAGTAATGACGTTGCGCTGGTCTACCACCAGGCTGTCTCACACTGCCAGGATAGTAATAATGATGATGATGCTCAGCAGTTGACTGGGGATAACGGCCAGTGCTGTGTCCCCTCGTCAGCTTGAAGGCTGATGCCTCGTACGGGCCTTGTACATTATCACCGTAAAATCCGCGTACGGCATATTGCTCCTCCACCCTGAAGCCAAAGGGCTCGCGATGCTGATGATCAGTCGTTGTTACTTTCTCCTCCGTATGCCTGCGTGAACGGCTGTCGTCACGACTACGTACACTTGGTGTGCGCGATGCTGCCTCCTCCTGCAGGACCTTGCGCTTCTTTCGTGCGCGCTCTAGGGACTCCGTTGTTGAATTTTTTTGATCGAGCGAGGCGGCCACACCAGTCACCTCCTCGTACTCGGGATCCAGGGGTACACCACCACTCCACAGCGGGTCTATTGACTTGAAGCCGCGTGAATCGGCCATCGTATGTGCTGGGGTGGGGCCAGATATTTTACGAGCTTTAGATTTTTCTTTTCACTTACGGACACGTGCGGGAAAATTTTTACGGAGAAACCTAGTGCATTCGGTTGAACATTCTAGACTGGTGGAAATCTCTTGAAATTTCAGTCACACACGGAGAGAAATATTCAATAAAAATTACGTATCTTTTCCGTAATTCCGGAGCGAAATGTGGTTGTAGGAAATTTTACGGAACTGTCACGGAATTTTTCCAGAGCGTTCGGTAATTTTTATCTGAATCTCCTGTGAAAAATTACCATTCCGTCACTTAAATTTTCTGAGTCGATTCCGTAATCGGTGAGCGAGTTGTGCGTTCCGTAATTTTTACTGAATATTTCTCTCCGTGCAGGGTCATCTGAATTCTCGATGTTGCCAGTTTCAATTCAATTTTAAATGAGACGGTTCATAAAATTGCTCATTCGTCTTGAAAATTCAGTAGCGAAGTGGTAAAATGGTACAAGTCAATTTTGACTATTGACCAGTTTTTGATGAATATTTCGGAATCTAAGGGAGAGAGCGAAATTTTTGTCAGAACCTTTTTTGTAGAGCCGATTGAGAGCTACAACAAATGTAATTACGAAAATGTCGCTATCTCCTGTAGATTCGGAGATATTCCGCAAAAACTCAACTGAGAGATAAGTCAACTTAAACCGTTTTACCACTTCGCTACTGAATTCAGGAAAATCGCGATTTTTGTGGTAAACAATTGCTAATTTTCCTATTTTCAATAGATTGAGGATTCAGAGAAGTTGTTGCCTGAATTTTCAAAATTTTCAATGTTTTTCGGTGCCGTATGGACCCGGAAATCAAGAATTACTTGAATATTTCAATCCATCCCATCCACTGACAGAAAGGATTAATTATTGTTAACAAATGGATTTGGTTAGAGGCTAGGGTCTATTCGGTCTCACCACATGTTCATTCGTTAACAGTTAAAAAATGCAAATGTGAGGGGTCTTGTTGTTTGACTCAATTTTCACCTTTCAAGTGAACCATTCGTTAACATCAACGAATAATTATCTTGTCATATTCGTTTGGGATAAGTGAATAATTCTGTCAGTGTCGTCATTGATATTTTTTTTAAGTAAAAAGGGTCCACTTTCCCTCGCAATTTGAATAAAGGAAGTAGGAAAATATTTTTCCTGCTGGAAAACATGATAAAGTGTTGGATCGAAATTCGTCCCATCAAATAGTGAGGAAACTTCCCGTCTCCAAACAGCGTGAACCTCCATTCCCCTCCGTGACATCTCAAAAAGAGGTTTCCACCCCCAATAATACTCTCGCCTCTGTCTCCCCTCTCCCCACTGCGACAAGAGTTTAATACCAGTGTTTTCCAGCGGAAATTTCCTCTCCCCCCCTGCCCACTGTCCCCAATCCCCCCTCCATTTGCACTTCCACTCCACCGTAAAAGAAAGAAAACCGTTTTGAGAGAAGATAATCCAATAGACTTAACTTCCTTCGCTCCAACAAATTCATCACAATGAGATAAAAAAAAAGAGCTCCCATAAAACATTGTTTCGGAGAAATTCTCGGGGATGGGTTTTTGCAAAAACAAATTAAACATTCCGGAAGCTTCATTTGCGAAGGATAAAAGTTCGCGATCGAGGAAAATCCTGTGCACGAGGTAAACAACAATAAAACCCTGGGTTGAGGCCGTCATATCGATTCACGGATATTCACGTTCAGGTGGAAATACTCCTCTTGTGGAGAGGAAAATCACAGAAATTTTATAGACGAGTTTTCGTCCGCAGGGATATTGCATTTTTTTAATGCAGAAATTATTAAAATAGATGATTTTGCCATTCGTATTTTTTTGGCCGTTTGGGAATATCAAATTTATTATTTTCCAATTATTTCGTTCATTGAAAAAATCATTTGAAGACGTTTACCTTGAAATGAGACATAATCCGACATGAATTATCGAACAAAAGAATTCAAAGAAATATCGCTATTTAGGAAAAATTTGTTTTAATGCAGAAATGATTAAAATAGATCATTTTACTATTTATAATTTTTTCGTCATTTGGGAATTTCAAATTTATTATTTTCCGATCATTTGGTTCATTGTCCGACGTGAATTATCGAATAAACCAATTCAAGGAAATATCCCTATTCAGGAAATTTTTTTTTAATGCAGAAATTATTAAAATAGATAATTTTGCCATTCGTAATTTGTTTTTCGTTTGGGAATTTCAAATTTATCATTTTCCAACAATTTTTTCATTGAAAAAATCATTTGAAAACCTTTAGCTCGAAATGAGACATAAGCTGACATGAATTATCGAACAAAAAAATTCAAAGAAATATCGCTATTTAGGAAAAATTTGTTTTAATGCAGAAATGATTAAAATAGATAATTTTGCCATTTATTTTCCAATCATTTCACTCATTGAAAAAATCATTTGAAGACGTTTACCTTGAAATGAGACATAATTCGACGTGAATTATCGAACAAAAAAAATCAAGGAAATATCCCTATTTAAGAAAACCTCGATAATCCTCGGTAATTGAAGCAAAATAAAATTCTCACCTTGAAGTACTTTCTAATATCCATTGTGCTGGGGTATTCAGCGGCGATGATAAACCCCCTCGTGACGTCAGCCCTGACCTCTCGTCTCCCTCGCCGAAAAATCAAAGGGACGAAGAAAAATCAGACGAGTGACAAACGAAATTAGCACTGACTCTTCACCGCTGGTCCAGTTAATCTGAAATTTTGGAAAATGAAGAGCATCAGTTGCCGGGAACTTTTGGTCCCGGGGAGGTGGGGGAAAATTACAGTTGAAAATTTAATTTTCCAATTTTGTTATACCCATCAGTATTTCACTTTGGTGGGCGCACTTGGCAGTCAATTTCAAAACTCCATTGCTCTCGTGGGGGCCAACGTCCTGGGACACCCCCTTCCCCCGTTAGCTCTAACTAACCGTAATGGTGAGTACGTTGAGTGCATATGGCGTTTTGAATTCACTGGGTTTGTTATGCAGGAATTAACAATTATGTAATGCAATTTTCCTGGGGAATTTGGGTTCCATTCGGGATTTTTTGTGGTGAATGGATTTCAGTGGGAATTGAAAATTCGGCGATTATCGATGATTAATTGAATGATCGGGAACATTTTCATTAACAGCATAACTGAATTGATTAATCATTTCTCATTGGATAAAATTGAAAATAGAAGCGCAGCAAGAACAAATGTACAAAGAATTACATGAATTTTCCATAGAATCAATGAACGTGCAGGAGAATTGGAAAATTGATTGCAGTGGGAATTAAAATTTTAAATATATTCAATCATTTTTTGTTGATTAAATAATTGTCCAACGAATCAATGAAATGAAGAAAACGTATTGGAATAAATGCCTTTCAGAATTTTATATTGAAATTGACTCATAATTTGCCGGCCGAATTTTTCAAATCGATACAGTTTCTCTGGAGNAAAATTTTAAATATAACTCAATCATTTTTTGTTGATTAAATAATTGTCCAATGAATCAATGAAATGAAGAAAACGTATTGGAATAAATGCCTTTCAGAATTTTATATTGAAATTGACTCATAATTTGCCGGCCGAATTTTTCAAATCGATACAGTTTCTCTGGAGTTTTTTTCATCGTGATTTATTCAAGACAATTTTCATTAACAGCACAACTCAATTGATTATTCATTTCTCATTGGATAAAATTGAAAATAGAAGCGCAGCAAGAACGAATGTACAAAGAATTACATGAATTTTCCATAGAATCAATTAACGTTGAGGAGAATTGGGGAATTGATTTCAGTGGGAATTGAAATTGTAAATATAACTCAATAATTTTTTGTTGATTAAATAATTGTCCAACGAATCAATGAACTGAAGAAAACGTATTGGAATAAATGCCTTTCATAATTTTATATTGAAATTCACTCATAATTTGCCGGCCGAATTTTTCAAATCGATATAGTTTCTCTGGAGTTTTTTTCATCGTGATTTATTCAAGACAATTTTCATTAACAGCACAACTCAATTGATTATTCATTTCTCATTGGATAAAATTGAAAATAGAAGCGCAGCAAGAACGAATGTACAAAGAATTACATGAATTTTCCATAGAATCAATTAACGTGCAGGAGAATTGGGGAATTGATTTCAGTGGGAATTAAAATTTTAAATATAATTCAATCATTTTTTGTTGATTAAATAATTGTCCAACGAATCAATGAAATGAAGAAAACGTATTGGAATAAATGCCTTTCATAATTTTATATTGAAATTCACTCATAATTTGCCGGCCGAATTTTTCAAATCGATATAGTTTCTCTGGAGTTTTTTTCATCGTGATTTATTCAAGACAATTGCGAGATTAATCCTGGATTTTCCAGCCTCGATGTGATTGAAATAATGCTCCCAGGCATGACTGGTAGATATAAACATCGCAAGTACTGGATTCCTCACGTAACTGTCGGATAAGGTGGAAAAATAAGTAATGCGTGCGTGATGGAGTGAGTCACCTTGGCAACGACTACTTGTATTTTAATTTATTGCAGACATTGTTGGAGGAAATATCGCGGTGTGTATCGGTTTGTTCTTTGATATGATTAACCTTGTACCAGACAGTGTCACAAAGTCAGTTACATTGCAGAAGAATTCTTTGTTAAAAGTACGGGAAAAAATCGTAAAAGTTGAAACAAAAAAGAATGATAAAAAACTCGGGAGCGAATAGTTTTGAAAATATTCTTTGAGCTGATAAAACTGATTCAACGGGGAATGTCGAATGATATGGCAAATATCTTTGAAACGAGTCACTTCGGCAAAAAAGATAGACAACACTGAGAGTGTGACAAAAAATTTTCACTCCGGCGCACTCTCTCCATATTTGGCACAAAAAATCCTTTTTTGATAATTTTCAAAAAAACTATTTCCTTGCACAAATAAGACTTGTTTGAGAACTTTGTCGTTTTTCTCTCAGTGCATGAAATGCTCTTAAAAAATATCTTCGGTAATTTCTTCCGAAGCCATTCTAAAGATCTGTGAATCCATTTTCCCTCATCACTCTTTCACGTCACCACCACGTTGTCCTCCGAAATTAATTTGAAAAACTGATTAAATTCCAATTTCAATTTTAATGAGAGCTCGTCAGAATCACTCTGGACTTATCCATTATTCTCTCCATCCCTTCTTACGATTTGAGGAATAATAGATTGAAAAATTCAATCCTCAACCGCTGAATTCAGATGAAATCTCATTTTTATTGTAAATTCCAATAAGACGTCATTTTTTAATCATTTTGTAAATTAAAAAATTTAAATCATCGAAAAATCGAGGGAATGCGGAGTCTGCAGAGCCTCTGACCCTTAAATTCAGTTCCCCATAATCATAAAATCCTTCTAACGAATCCCACATTCACATTTGTCCCCCGGCGTCAGGCATTTCCGTAGAAAAAATCTCCACCCAATAAAAAAAAAATTCGAGATCCACGCAAACATTACGTTTTAGTTCCTTCACCTCTCCGGGTCATAATAAACCGCGGAATTTTCGTGCTCATTCGCAACGGCCAAAAAAAGCCCCCAGATGATGAGAGGAAAAATGCAAAAAAATCCGGAGAAAGAGATAGAGAAATGTTGATTGCCAGACTCGACATTTTAAATGCAGAGAGATAAGTCGCACCGGAGCAGAGATCATCCCGTACCACTTGCAACCATTTCTCGCTCTGTTGTGAACTGTCGGCGATGTAAAAGTGAATGACACGGGGCTGAAAAAAGACGGCGAGGGTGCGCGAGGAAAGCAAACAATACAAAATTAACAGACATCTCTTTTGTCCCTGGCAAAAAACAAATTTTCCTTCCCTTTGTTCAGCATTTCCGGGTTATCCTGACATTGAGGAATTAATACTACATATTTTTATGGTCTGGAGGGCAATAAACAATGGCGGAGATTTGTCGGGTTAGGGGAGAAGAGCATAATGAGTACATGAAAATTCCGGTTTTATTGATCATCTCATTTTCTCAGAGGAGAATAAATTCGGAAGAAATTTTTAGAGACAAAAACCCAATATTTTCACATTTATTCGCTAGTAATAAATTCTATTACCACAATTTTTTTCTCTCAATCTGATATTCAGATAAAAATTTGTATTCAAACTATCAAAAAAATACGAAAATACTTTATTAAATCGAAAACAATCAAAAAAATCACTGGAAAACATTTGACTGTGATTGAAATTTTTAAACTCAAGGAATTTTAGAATAAAATCATGATTTTCTTTCGTAAAATGAGTCATTAGAAATAATTCAACACATGATCACTGAAATCCCCAACAAATTGATTGATTACGAAACCTCAAAAGTTGTGTCGAGTTTCGGAGATAATTGCGGCTCGAATGCTCACTCGAGTCACTCAAGATTTTCACATTTATTTGGGAGAAATAAATTCTATTACCACAATTTTTTTCTCTCAATCTGATATTCAGATAAAAATTTGTATTCAAACTATCAAAAAAATACGAAAATACTTTATTAAATCGAAAACAATCAAAAAAATCACTGGAAAACATTTGATTGTGATTGAAATTTTTAAACTCAAGGAATTTTAGAATAAAATCGTGATTTTCTTTCGTAAAATGAGTCATTAGAAATAATTCAACACATGACCACTGAAATCCCCAACAAATGGATTGATTACGAAACCTCAAAAGTTGTGTCGAGTTTCGGAGATAATTGCGGCTCGAATGCTCACTCGAGTCACTCAAGATTCACTGATAATAGCTTTAAGTCATGCTCGATGAGATTATACACTACACGAGATTACTAGACAGCCATTCTCGGCTCAGGATTTATGATTTACAAAGGTAATTGAGGTCCCGACGCGTTCGTTACTTAAAACGAATGGAAAAATTCTATTGGAGATTAGTCGGCGTCTGGTGGTACTTATCAACAGTCTAGTGGCAATTAAGTGATCGGAGATTAATGAGGCGAAGAAATTTCGATGGAAAGATAAAGTCGATTAGATGATGAAACCAGACGGAAGGAGAGACGCTTTAAAAAAATCTTTTAGAATTATTACTCACGTGATGACAAAATTATCTGAAATAGTTTGTAGTAGTTTGTGTTATCAGCGCTGATTACCGAGGTAATTGACCTGATCCTCAAATAATTTACTATTTACGAAGCATTAATGTAAATGACAAATTCGGAAATTAAAATTAATGCAAAGAAAATCTCAAAGTTTAAAAAAAATTAAGAAACAACTGAACCCAAAAAATAACAGTCCGAAAGCAGCTCTCCAAAAATACTAAGAATACTAGCGGCACTAATATGATTAAGAGAGTGATAGGATCACGAAAGTGTTTGAGTTCAAATTTCAATGGGAAGATAAAGTCAATTAGAATCAGACAGAACGAAAAAAACACTTGAACAATTTTAACCCTCGAGTGTAATAAAATCGATGAATACGCTGTATTTCTTATTCACGGAGAGAAATGTTCAGTAAAAATTACGGAACTCACAATTCACTCACCGATTACGAAATCGACTCAGACGATTTAAGTGACGGTATCGGAATTTTTCACAGGAGATTCGGATAAGAATTACGGAACGCTCCGGAAAAATTCCGTGATAGTTCCATAAAATTTCCTACAACCACATTTCGCTCGGGAATTACGGAAAAGATACGTAATTTTTATTGAATATTTCTCTCCGTGTTTGCCCCTAAAAAATCCATGAAACATTTCTAAGGGAAACAATAATCGAATAATGTACAAAAAAATATTTCCCGTTATCAGCCCTAATTATCGAGGCAATTAAGAGCTACCTCTTAACGAAGTATTAAAGTGAACGACCAGGAATTCCAAATTAGTGCGGGTTATCTGAAGAATACCTCAAAGTTGAAAAAAGCATAAGGAACTTTAGATCACAAAATTCCAAGTAAAACGACGGAAGAGATAAAAAAACTGAGAAAACATCTCCCCATAAAATACAAAAAATACTAGCAGCATTAGTATGATTACGGGAGCGCCAGGATTACTAATTAAGAGAGTGTTTGGCTTCAAATTCCTATGGAAAGATAAAGATAAAGTCGATTAAAAAACCCATAAATATTCCTGAAACAATCACAACAAAAAAAGTATTTCGCGTCTTCAGCGCTAATTATCGAGGTAATTAAGCGACCGTAAATTCGCAAATTAATGCAGGGGATCCCAAGAAAATCTCAGAGTTAAAACAGAACATAAAAAACTTTAGATCAGAAAAATTTCAACAAACCTACAGAACCCGTAAAGCAACAGTACAAAAACATCTCCCCAAAAATCTAAAAACACTTGCAGCATTAGTATGATTAAGAAAACGCCAGGATTACTAATTAAGAAAGTGTTTGGCTTCAAATTTCTATAGTGAAAACATAAAGTCGATTAGAATCAGCCCAATAAACCGTACCACCTTCCTTAAAAACCCATAAATATCCCCGAAACAATCACAACAAAAAAGGATTTCGAGTCTTCAGCGCTAATTATCGAGGTAATTAAGATCTAATTATTTACTAAAACAATTCACCACTAACGAAGTATTCAAGCAAACGACCGTAAATTCCCAAATTAATGCAGGTGATCCCAAGAAAATCTCAGAATTAAAAAAAAAAAAGAAATTTTAGATCAGAAAATTCTAAACAAACCTACTGAACCCGTAAAATAATAATATTAGTATGATTAAGAGAGCACCAAAATTACTAATTAAGAAAGTATTTGGTTGTAAATTCCCAAATTAATGCCGATGATCCCAAGAAAATCTCAGAATTAAAAAAAAACATAAGAAACTTTAGATCAGAAAAATTTCAACAAACCTACTGAACCCACAAAACAACAGTACAAAAACATCTCCCCGAAAAATCCAAAAATACTAGCAGCATTAGTATGATTAAGAGAGCGCCCGGATTACTAATTAAGAAAGTATTTGGCCGTAAATTCCCAAATTAATGCAGATGATCCCAAGAAAATCTCAGGATTAAAAAAAAAACATAAGAAGCTTTAGATCAGAAAAATTTAAACAAACCTACTGAACCCACAAAACAACAATACAAAAACATCTCCCCGAAAAATCCAAAAATACTAGCAGCATTAGTATGATTAAGAGAGCGCCCGGATTACTAATTAAGAAAGTATTTGGCCGTAAATTCCCAAATTAATGCAGATGATCCCAAGAAAATCTCAGGATTAAAAAAAAAACATAAGAAGCTTTAGATCAGAAAAATTTAAACAAACCTACTGAACCCACAAAACAACAATACAAAAACATCTCCCCGAAAAATCCAAAAATACTAGCAGCATTAGTATGATTAAGAGAGCGCCAAAATTACTAATTAAGAAAGTATTTGGTCGTAAATTCCCAAATTAATGCCGATGATCCCAAGAAAATCTCAGAATTAAAAAAAAAACATAAGAAACTTTAGATCAGAAAAATTTCAACAAACCTACTGTACCCACAAAACAACAGTACAAAAACATCTCCCCAAAAAATCCAAAAATACTAGCAGCATTAGTATGATTAAGAGAGCGCCAGGATTATTAATTAAGAAAGTGTTTGGGTTTCACTGAGTATACGTTTGTGCAAGTCACAGCCTCCGTCCCTCCCTCCCCCGTCAGACGAAACTTTGCTGCAGCGAGAGGCCGAGAGAGAAATACAGAAGTTACTGATGACAGAGAGACTAGTGCGTGCGAGAAACTCGGAGGAAGATGCATGTAAGCACAACCCCGATATAACCCGAGTACAGAGACGAAAGAGGACAGAACACCAGATAAAACCCGGGTGATGATACATAGTTTCACTGAGAGGCGAGTCTCTGGAGGACCCTCAGTCGGCCCTCCCCCCACCCCGTTTGAAGCCTTCATTTGCGCCTGTTTCCCGTGTTAATCAACTTCGTAATAATTGTCGCATTGAATATTCATACTTTGGCATTAAAAAGGGAGGAGTAACGAATCCCACGGGGCCCTCGTCAACTCGAACATTTTTTTCCCCTCATAAGTATCTCTTCTTCACTCCTCATCTAGCCGTGGATTCTCGGGAAATTCTCAGAGCCTCGTGATCGTTATCCACGGCAATAACGAAAAACTTATCTACAGACGGAATTACGACTCTTGTTACGGTTATAGCTTGACGGAACCGCGGAATTAAACAAGTAAAACGAATTTAAAAAAAAACCGAAAAAAGTTATTCATCATTGATGTTTTCTTACGAATTGAACCGTCAATTCTTTTTTCAATTATTTTTTTAAAGAGCAGTCGCTCATTTTACTAGGGCACGCCATTTCGCGTACGCAGAAACGCAAATTATTTACTAAAAATGTTAACAATTGATAATTTACAGAAAAACTAAGAAATTTCGGTCAGATAAAAATTCGGTTTTATTAGAAAATTATTATTCCTCAAAGCCTTATTATTATTCCCAAAGCTTAAACAAAATACCTCGCGAATGAAAAAAAAACAAAGAAATTCCACTCACCCGTTCTCGACCGAATGGCGATAAAAAATGTTCTTCCATTGAAAATGAAACATGAAACTTGTTATTCGTACGTCAAATCACCGCATTCTCCGTCAGATATCGATCATTTCCTTATCAAACATACCTTCGCAGTTCCCATTCATTTTTTTAATGAAACAACTCTACCATGTCCCGGCTGCAAAAAAAAAGTCAAAATGGGAAAAAAAGTGGTTGAAATAACCGTGAGCAACGAAGCGTGACGGTTGTGTTCTCGTCGCACATAGCGCCGAACGACTCGTCAGGAGAGAAAAGCAATATTGCGAGTATAGAGAGGCCCCGAACGGCACAACTCACGAAACAATTTCCCTCGTGGTAGTGAGCACGCTCAAACTACAAACCTATATAACCCACCCACGCCTCGCACTTCGCCCGCCCCATCTGTGATTTCCTATTTTTTCTCTCCCTCCATTGGAAACATTCTATGGGAGGCTACAGTCGGGTGCCCTGCCTCGCCTAACTCAATTTCAACTAGTTTCACCAACACCGATACCTGCCGCCATCCTTTTAAATATAAACCCATGGACTATGCAGGATTTCATCCGAACGTATTTGTACTCGGCACGGGGGTAATACTTTGGATCTCCAGCCGTGATGTGAATTCGAGAGCGAGAATTGCTTCGGGAAAATGCATCGAAATGTTTGAAATTAATTTTTCCTCGATTCTTCGGGGACAATTGACTCGGCACGATTTAGGGGACCTTCGTAATGTTTTTTAATGAGGTTGAGAGGCTGTGGAGAGTTTTTTTATTGGGAAGTCAGGCGGCGGGGAGATTTTTTTGGGAATATCGAGAGAAATAGAGGGTTAAAAATCATTTTCTTATAAATAATTGAAATTATTTGTAAGAAAATGATTTTTTTCTTTCTGATATTTGCTTGGTTTGTAAAATAATGTTGAGGAAATTTGAGAAATACTCGGAATTTTTTGGAATTGTTTGTGTCAAATCATTTTTCGTCTGGCGGAGACTGTCTGTTTCTACTTAAATTTCAAGAAAGTTGACTGGAGAGAGATGAAGAACATTTGTTTTCACATGGGAAGCCATAACTTGATGGCAAAATTGTCGTCTGATCGGGATTTTCCTTTTCCACTCAATTTTAAATCAAATAAAACGTCGAATAAAGGAAAATAATTCTGCGCTCTGATGACTTAACTCTCATGACAGAATTAAAGAAAAAAAACATTGGAGATTTTCGTCTGATCAAGACTTTCCAAATCTCCTTAAAACCAAATTGTCCATGAATGTCATAAAAGTCTAGTGAAAAAATGCTGAAAATCACGTGAAACTTCCGAAAAAAATCTGAAAATTATTTCTGTCAACTTGTTGTCTGATCGAGATTTTCCACTTCCACTTCACCTCAAACTTCAACTGTAGAGTCGAAAAGAATGTTCAGATTAATCTTTCTGTTTTATTGTAAAATTACTTATTCAAAAAAGTAGATAAACAACCGTGAAAGGCATCGTTGTCTGATCATGACGTTCCACATCTACTCAACCCCGAAATCCTCATAAATGTCATAAAAACTCAGCTAGACAAAAATTAATAATAAACAGAAAATTGTCTCCATCACCATTTGTGTCTGATTGAGATTTTCTATTTCTCCTCCACATCAAACTCCGACTGGTGAGTGGAATGCCCCATTAAAATTGCCAATTCATTAGAAAGTAGAGACAAAATTATGAAAAATGTTGTCTGACCGCGACGTTCCCTATCTCCTCACCATCAAACTTCACCCATCGACTCCTCAATTACTAACATACATCGACAAAATAAATCCCCAATAACTCATAAAAAATGGGAAAACGATCGCGCAAAGCGTCCGCTCGGCGTCTCCTCGACACGTGTCATGAAGGCTCGCGCAAAAAATCATTGAAGTCTGGACTTTGCTTTTACCTGTAGTCGATCTGGCTCTGAACCTGCGCAGCCTTGTCACGAATACCACGGAGAAAGGCAGGGAAACTGCCGAAGCCCATAGAGCTCTCAACAGCCGAGACTATCCAATCAAACACACGTAATTCCGTGGACCAACCCGTCACCACCACCGGCACACTTGTCCAATAATCCCAAAAATCCAAATAACCAAACGCAACACAACCTAATAGACCGCCCGACGAGGCCGTGCGAATGACAAAGTGATATTCGCGGTTAGAAGTCCATCCGTTTCTCGAAAAGACGGTACGTTACTCTCGTGTCTCGACCGCACGCCGCAGTACAGCGTCAACTGATCGCTCAGGCGTTTCACAGTTGATGTTACTAACGCATTCATAGTGAATTAGTAACAGAACTGGAGAGTCCCCACACCACAGGCAATACAGCCCCCACTCCACATCACTGCGGAGAGCTGAGTAACTTGTCGAAAATCCATCCAAAGGTCTAATGGATGGAGATTATCTGTCAATTAGACTCGTGAGAGGGTAGTAAATGGCATTATTATGATGGTGTAGATAGTCTTTGTTTACCGCTGTCGTAAATCCGTGTTTATATCAGTGATTAATCTGCTTATGAGGGGAGGTAAAAGCGGGAAATAGCTTGTCACTTGTTTGCTTTTTTTTTCGATAGGCAGAATAAACGATTAATGCCCCAAGAGCTTCAAAATTATCGGGTATTTCCCGATAGCTTCGTTGCAAATGAATGAAAGTGTCACGTTTTGTAGACTGAAAATCCCGATGTGCGCAGCACGAGGGATTTTTCTGCAAAACTTGACACTTGTTTGTTTGCAGGGAAGCCGGAGGGAAATATTGCGATTAATTTTGAAGGTCGAGGGGTATTCGGCGGAGAATTTCCCGGGACTGGATTTTGCTTCCAGCAAAACATCCAATTGGTTAGAAATAAATGAAGAGCTTCTATGCAATTATCAGATGCTATTTCCAGAAGTTAGTGTGCAATTTCCGAAAAAATTTGATAATAAAATACTATTGTGTACCTCGAATACTGCGCTGTGATCGGCTAAAATCCAGTCCCGGAAAATTCTCATTGTCAGTAGTAACGCCCCAAGAGCTTCAAAATTATCGGGTATTTCCCGATAGCTTCGTTGCAAACAAATGTGGGTGTCAAGTTTTCAGGTTAAAAAAACTCGAGCGCTTGCGCGAGGGATTTTTCTGCAAAACTTGGCACGATGGTTTGTTTGCAGGGGACCTTGAGGGAAATACCCGATTAATTTTGAATCTCGAGGGGTATTTGTCGGATTATTTTTCCCAATCGGATTTCGGCCAAGCTGAGTGCCGTGGACAACATCAGGAGGTGAATTGGGGAAGATTTGAAAAAATTATGTTAATAGAATAACCCAGTTTCCATAGACTGTCAAATATAAGATTCTATCTATAGGAGGAAATATCCGAAATAAAACGGTCGGGTAGCCTCAAATAATGCGCTGTGATTGATCGAAATCCGATTGGAAAAAATAATCAGTGGTTAATATTTTTTGCTGAAATATCATGATTAAAAATTCATCTTTTCCCGCAGCACAAAAAAAATTATCATTTTCCCACTTAAATCGACATTAAATTCCGTAAAATTGAAATTTTTGCGATTGAAAAAAAGGGATTCAATTGCGAAAAAACGGTAAAACATTAAACAATTTTATGAACGTTTTTTTTCAAAATATGTTGAAAGAATATCGCTGAAACAAACGCATTTATTTCCCAATATCATTTGATTATATTTCCCAATAATTCTCTAGCAATTCTCCTAATTCAATTGTTCAATCATAAATGCCCGGAACCCGCGAAGTTAATATGAATTTCGCTCCGTGGAATTACATCAGTGCATTACACATGAACTTAATTATTAACGCACCGCCCATCCCCCTAAATTTGTAAATTCATCGAATTATGAATCCCATTAAAGCCCTGAATGATAAATCTCCACATTAGCAGCCGAGAAATCTCATAAATAATCCCGAGCAATCTTCTCCACTCCTCAAATGAAAAGAAACCCCTCGACCAAAATTAATCCACAATTCCCATTTCCACGAACATATCAACAATTCCTCCCCTTAAAAATTCAATGATTTAATCCCCCCACTGTTCACTTCATTAAATCACCCCCAACACTCCCCCCCTAACTTAATATACATCCCTCCACCCTCTAAAATCAACATTTCACCAACAAACTCCAACAATTCAGCCCGAAAAATTCTCTCCAATTCCTCATTCTCCCCCACCAACTATTTGAATAACTCGAATGCACTGGGCATAATTGTCGATAAAATGATATTTAATATGGAAATATCTCTCGAGCTATCTGTTCAAATATTTTACTCCCACTTTATCCCCTCCTCCACGCGGGAATGAATAATGGAAGGAGAAAATGAGAGAAAAAAATTAATTTATTGACGTTAATTTCAGTTCATTCAAATTATTATCTCATTTTTTAAAATCACTTCGAAAATCATTGAAATTAATTTTAAATTTATATTATTAATATCTACTAGTATTCTTACTATCACTGTTAATAATTCTGGCCATATAATTAATTCGTATGGTGATTAAATTGATTCATTATTCTTTATTAATTTAATTTGTCTAAATTTATTTATTAAATCATTTTAAACAATATTTTTCTTTACATCATTTTAATGATTCCCATGACGCAAAATCCAAAGAATTTTCGACTTAGTTCATTCAAATTTTCCATCTCATTTGTCAAAATCACTTTTAAAATCATTGAAATTAATTTATTTATATTATTACTACCTATTATTATTCTTACTATCACTATTAATAATTATTGCCAGATAATTAATACTTGTAGTGGTTAAATTGATTATCATTATTCTTTATTAATTGAATTTATCTAAATTTGTTTATTAAATCATTTCAAACGATAATTTTCTTTACATCATTGTAATGATTCCCATGACGCAAAATCCAAAGAATTTTCGACTCAGTTCATTCAAATTTTCCATCTCATTTTTCAAAATCACTTCTAAAATCATTGAAATTAATTTTCAATTTATATTATTACTACCTATTATTATTCTTACTATCACTATTAATAATTATTGCCAGATAATTAATACTTGTAGTGGTTAAATTGATTATCATTATTCTTTATTAATTGAATTTATCTAAATTTATTTATTAAATCATTTTAAACGATAATTTTCTTTACATCACTGTAAGGATTCTCATGACAAAATCCACAGAATTTTCAACTCATAATATCACCCTGCGGAATAGATAACATGAGCATCATATTTTTTTCATTTCCCCCCGAAGTTTATGTACATCCGAATAAAAGTAAACTCGTTGATTTTCGAGTCGAGTGCATTTTTTCCACCGGAAAAGAAAGTTTACTCCCATGAGTATTGCCCGGGTGTACCTCCGATTGCAGGAGGGGCAAATGTGGGAGGGAAAAGTGGGAGGAACTTCACTCGAAGATTTATTGCGTGAAAATGCGAGAACGTGCAGGATGGTAATACCCGAAGAATTGTGAGGAGTGAGAGCGAGGGGTGAGGTATATATTTTTTTTATTTCTCGCATTGTTTGGTTGGCATTTACCGTGATCATATTTCATAGTTTTCCTCTCGTGAAGAGGTGGAAAGAATGGCCCTGAGTGCATATTCATTCACGACAATTGAATAGAGGCGGAGGTGGAGGGTAATTTTAATTAAAAATGGATTTGTTGGGGGTAATGAGATTGATGGGGGATTTTGAAAAATTATTTAATGATTTATTCAGGGGTTTGGAGCGAGTTTGGGGAATTTTTTGTGGATATCGGAGGGGGGTGAAGCTGAAGAGAGTTTTAAAAGTCTATTTTCAAACATTCGATATTGCGTTCAAGCCATTGTATTTATTATTCATTATTTTTAATTTCAATTGTCATTAAAGCAATTGAAAAAAATGGAGTTATTCAAGATGACAACCCCATCCATAAACAACTAATAAACAATAAAGTTCCCTTTTAAAAATGTTTTTTTCCCTAATTAAAAAAAATTCATGGTTTTTTGATAAAAAACGAAAGTTGGAAGAATGAATTTCGTATAAAACAGATCCAGTTCACGGAGAGAAAAATTCTATAAAAATTACCAGAAAGAAAACGTAAAAATTACGTTTCGAAACGTAATCCGCGAGCGAAGTAAAATTCAATAAAAAGTGTGAGTCGGAACTGAAATTGTACGAATCGCCACGTAAATTCTACGATTTGTTCCGTAAAAATTAACCACCCGTCTGATGACTCACCGTTGTGGGGACAACAAGTCGTTCCGTAATTTTTCCCCAACGACTGAGAAATTTTACGGAACGGAACGTAGAAATAATTCACCAGCTTCATAAAAATTGTTGAACGTTCAAGAATTTTTGATTTTGGAGGCACAATAAGGCAAGTTTCGGTAAGATTTTACTTCTTCGGGAAAAATTACGTGATAATTTCGTACTTTGTTCGGTGATGAACCTTAAAATTCCCTGAACGTTTCAGATTTCTTCTTTCTCTCCTCCAAAAATTGCCGGAAAACGATTCCCGATTGATAGCAGTTGCATGTAAACAATACCCTGCTTGTTTTTCCCCGTGAAACCTAAAAATTAATCTTGTAACCCATAAATGTGACCTGAAAACCCCCACAATAGAGGGATTAACCTCGAAAATATGTACGTCACAGCAGTGGCTGTCCCAAGTGTGAGGTGCAGGTGTGTTCAGTGGGTACCTAGGCCACCGCAGAGGGTTCCAACAACACGGGAGGCATATCCATAAGCCCCCATGGTGCTATGGGCACCATATATGGCCTCGTAACGACTCTCCCGCGTCGTGAAAAAGCTCTCCACAGTGGTTCCCAATGGCCCCCACATAAGGACCAACGCCCACTGGGAGTTGGAAAAAAAAGTTAAAATACAAGGGGATAAAAAATATTATTCAGTCCTTCTAATATGTATCAACGTGGGATTATGACTGGGGATGACCCCAACAACGGATACACACGGCTCGTTAAACCTGAGATGCACACGCTTCGCTAATTACCTTTCTACTCGGCTCCAACAAAGGAAGAGGTTTTTACCTTTTTTCGTGTTTCGTTGGGAACTGGTCATTTTTTGGGGGAAAAAATGTTCTATTTTTTTTCATTTTCTGCATTGTGAAGAGGGATCGTTCGAAGGATAAATAGAGGAAAATATATTTACCATTGTTTGAGAGAGAAATGGGATTTTCATTAGTTTTATTTTAGGATAAAACGAATTTTTGAACGCGTTTTTTATTTTATTAAAATCTGCCAAAAAAAAAAAATTTAATTCATCT